CGCACCGCGGGAACCTTTTCATAGTACCAGAACTAATTGTGGAACTACCCACTTTTTGAGCGCAGAAACAGACCGGGACCCTTTTCGTTCGACTCAGTTTAAGGATTAGAGCAGTATCAATGGTTTCGCTGCTGAGGCTGATGTTCGAGCTTTTTTGTTTTTAATTTCTTTTAAATTTTGGTTATGATTTCCATATTTTTGGTGCTTTATTTTTTCATTTTTATTTGGCATGATTCACAGTGCATGCTGGTTAACTGCCCTTCTGCATTTGCTTGCTAAGTTTGTGCACATTTTTTAAAAATTTTATTTCACCTTATCGTGCATAACACTGTGTGTTGTTCACAGTATAGTGTTGTTAGTGTGTAGATTTTAAGTTTTTTTTTTTTTTAACAGAAATTAATTGTTTAAACATTTTTATATTTTAAAATTACATTTTTTTTTTTTCTTGGTAAAATACTCAGTTTTTTCATAGTAATTATTCATATTATTTTTAATCAGTGATGTAAACTTGAATTCTCTCTCCTATTTCTGAGCAATGGTGTGATTATGCAGTCATAAAGAAGTTTGAAATAGAGTGCACGAAATGCCAACAGACAAACAGATCATGTAGAGTGATCCTTCATTACTTTTTTGGAAGGGGGTCTTACTGACCTTATATGTATTACTGAGAACACTTTAACGCAAGCACAAAAATAGTTATGAAGGTTTAGGCATCACATAATGACATCAGTCTTATCTAATACTCTTTCATCTAATCTTTTATCTATCTAATACTCTGTTTTACATCCTGTATTGCTTTCATTAGCGGTACCATAAACTTGAAGAAAAAAAACCAAACAAACAAAAAAAAACTCCCCCGCAGTGGTGAAACACAATCAGTAGCTCAGTCACGCACCACTGATAGCTCATCCAAACATGGAGACAAGATGTCTGACATAAGCCGAGACAGAGTCTGTTTGTATTCATGCCAGAGACTCTGTTCTAGAGTAAAAAGAGTGAGAGCATTGTCATATAAAACTCTCCGATTTAACTAAAGCTCTCAAATAGGCATTTCTGGAAATAGGAAAACATGAATAATGTGTCTCTCATCAAGCCACCCCTTTGCCAGACGCTGTTGGCTTTACACCAAGCCATCAACTCAACAGAGTCTTCTCATCCCAGGACAGTCATGCATGCAATTACTACCACTCATTAAATACAAGAGGCCAGATCTGTGAAGATCATTATGTGTGATAGCATCCAGACACTGCACTCATAAAGCCTCATTGCGTCCCTCTGGCAAACAGAGATCCGCTTAATGTTTGCCCAGGATCTGAGCACAAATAAGCACCTCTCCTGCAACTGAGAGTGTACAGGCACATACACCCAGTTACAATTAAGGTCAGCAGCCCCTGTTCTTTGTAAACTCATGAGCACATCATGTCTGCTGAGACATGAGAGAGTTAGTTTGGACAGATTTAGATTGATGACCGTGCATGGTTAAAGCTCTTGAGACTTTGACCACAGCAGTATTGGAGTAATCCAGTATGGGAAGTAAAGTGATCCGCAAAACCCCATGGCTAAAGCTCAACTCTTTAACCTCCTGTTGCATAGAAGCCCTGCTTCACAAATAAAACATTGTTATTGTTCTGCAACAGTAATAGAAGTGGCCATCACGTTGTTAGGATAGTAATGATGGGCCGTAATCTTTTATATGAGTCAGATCATTGCAGACATGAAAAACTCCTGAGAACAACTTTGGTGTGTAATTTAAAGTGCATTAGTGTGTAGTTTGGTATATAGTTTAAAGGCTTAAAAATGCAACATTCAATTGAGGTATTTTTAGTGACTCTTTTTGCAGGTTACATTGCTTTGCCAGTAGTTGGCAACAAGTGACTGTCTTTGAGTCATTGAATAATTACTAAATTGATTTGATCAAAAACACTGATTTATTTAGCAAAAAAATACTGAATCACTGACTAACAGATGCATTCATAGTCAGATTCATTCAGAAACTAAACGTGTATTTTTTGAGTGAGTCATTGAATCATTGACTAAACTGATTAGTGTAGAAATTAAACAAGTGAGTTTCTTCATGAGTGAGCTACTGAATTATTTATTCTACTGATTGGTTCAAAAATACTAATTTAATCAAAAATGAAACACGTGCAAGTCACCGAATAACAATAAAACTGATTTGTTCAAAAACACTGATTCATTGAGGAATAAAAAATAGTGAATGTCATTAAGAGTGAGTCATTGAATCAATTACTCAACCAACTTAAGACGACTTCTTCAGGAATTGAATGTCATTATTGTATGTTGCTTGTTTAGATTTTATTTTAGTTGGAAATACAAAAATATACAACTGACTATATTGTATCTAAAATGTAATTAGCTCAATATTAAGTAAATATTGTTTGTGTGATTATTGATTAGTTCAATTATTGCATCTTAATACATCACAGAATCACTATTTGAGTGCAGCATATATAGCCAGTAGATGTCAATGCAGCTCACTACTAGGTTTTGGAACAGCTCTAGAGTATGAAACTAGATCTTACTATGGAATAAATGAGCCACAGAAGACCGTGACCTCTGGAACAATCCAGTTGAGTCTGTTTGTTTGTTCTGATATATTGCAAGTTTTTCATTCGGTGCCTGTCCGGAGAAGTCACGGTTAGAGTTCATGGCAGCCACAGATCCAAAAACAATTTAACCACTTTTGACAGGGGTTCCGATACTTGTCAGTTAGTATTGATGTACATGTCAACATGCATCCTAGCACAGGGGTGGTTTGGCTACAGAGACACGACTTATTAAGAACATTTGACAAACCAACATTAAAACGAAAGATTCAATTTTGTTTGTCCTGAAAAGTTCAAAGCACTTCATTTAATATTTTAAACCATGTTTATAAATATGAGGTAAAACAACATGTGCTGTTATGACTATAACGGACAGTGAATATTTGAAAGCCACAACATTTAATGTTTTCAAGACATTTTTGGTTATTATGACTTTATGCTCCTTTTTAGGATATGCCAGAGTTTTGTTTTATTTTATGTTACACTCTTCAGCTGAATTTTCCCCCTTACAGGCACATTGTGGTCTGTGGTCATATCACGCTCGAAAGTGTTTCCAACTTCCTTAAAGACTTCCTACACAAGGACAGGGATGATGTCAATGTAGAAATTGTTTTTCTTCATAAGTAAGTACAATTCCCTTTGGAATACATTTTAGAAACTTGATGGAGCCTTTCCGCACTGTAAAGAATATAATGACTGCATGTTACTAAGAAAAACAAATAAATCAAATGTAGTTGCCTGTTTTTATATAACAAAGAGATCAGCCAATAAGCTGTATTGACATTCTTTTGTTAGCCGCTAGTGGTGCACAAATGACACTGTTCTTATAAACTTATAGCATTCTCAAAAAAGCATTCTTTTTCATTATAACACACTTTCTCTTTTTGCCAAACTCTAGTATTTCCCCTAATCTTGAGCTGGAAGCCTTGTTCAAACGTCACTTCACTCAGGTGGAATTCTATCAAGGATCGGTCCTCAACCCACATGATCTAGCAAGAGTGAAGGTAACCTCATAAAAACTTACAATTTTCCCCAGTTTGATCTGACAGTTTAATAATGGGGTCAAACATTGATACATTTACAAATTAATTTGTTCATTACAGATGCAGAATTGTAGAGACATTGCTGATAATAATGCAGCAGATTGTTAGTATATTTTTGATGTTTTAATGCTGTTCTGATCACTGAGGCGTCACCTTTTCTTTTCCATCTTGTACAGATCGAGTCAGCGGATGCCTGCTTGATTCTTGCAAACAAATACTGTGCAGACCCCGATGCTGAAGATGCCTCTAATATCATGAGGTCAGTTCGGTGAAGGGTTACGTTTGCTATCAACACATTTGAGCACATCTTATTTTGATGTTTGTGGGCAGCATCATACACTCACTAGGGACATCCTCCTGTAAAAAAGATGGATTGAAAGCTGATGTCTTTCACCCTTCTGTGCTGTTAAAGGAAGGTGTGAATGGGATACTCGGCATCTCAGGTCAGATTCACACGTTATACCTGGACACAGATGAAAAGAGCCAGAAGAAATTTCCTTTGGGATGGAGTCAACTAATATTGCTCTGAAAAAGTGTATGTGAAGGGAGGGCAAACATATATCCCTTCCACCTTTCATGCTGGAGATGTTCTTTAGCCATGAGTAATGCACAGAATTGCACCCAGACTGGCCTGTTTGGAAAATGAAATATTAATTTAGGCAGGTCTCGGAGTGCTCTTTTGAACTAATGTGTTATAGAGCAGCTTAATATGGAAATAAATTCTGCACCTCTCTTACGAGACTGTAAAGAAATCCAGACTGGATTTCACAGGGAAATCATACCGTTCCGCCACATATCACAGGCTCCTCTATGGGAATGAAAGATTAATTCATTTTTTATTCATTCAGCAGATGCTTGTTTTTAATCCAAAGTGACTTACGATGGTGAATTCTGGGACGGTCCTCCTGGAGGTTAAAGGTGCACTCAGTAGGTTTTTGTTTATATGAGGGAGCAACCTGCTCCATGCAGAATAAAACAGATTTTTCTAGAAGATTAATATGTCTAGAGCCTTCATCTCATGTGAGTGTACATCATTTTAATATTGCTGTTCATATAATACCATTCAAAAGTTTGAGGTCAGTAAGAAAGAAATAATACGTTTGTTTAGCAAGGATGCATTAAATTGATAAAAAATGTAATTGTTACAAAAAATGTATTTCAAATGTATTTTATTTGAACTTTGAAATCATCGAAGAATCATGAATTTTTTTTTTGCAGTTTCCACAAAAAATATTAAGTAGTGTAACTGTTTTCAACATTGAAAATATTAAGATTTTTTTTTTCTTGAACACCTAATCAGCATATTAGAATGACCCCAAACTTTTGAAGTCTATCTTTGTGGATTTTTTTAAATAAGCAATACATTACTGAATGCACCTTTAAGCTAAATTCATACCTCTAAAGAAACAAACCATGTTTAAAATGTATATATTCTATCTTTTTTCTTTTTCCCACAAATGCTGTTTTATGTTGGCTTTAACTGACCTGTAAATTAATACAGTTTCTCCTCTTTTTTACAGAGTAATATCTATAAAGAACTACCATCCAAAGATCAGAATAATCACTCAAATGTTGCAGTACCACAACAAGGTAGGACGTGTATTTTTTCTGTTTCTATGTCAATTCAAATCAACAAGAAAATGAACAAGACCTAAAGAGAAAGAATACAAATAATGTACAAAGAGGCTATCATTTTAATAAAAAAAAAATAAAAATCTGACATGTGGCAGATAAACATGTGCCATATGAGAACAGGCCTTCAGATTCTGCTGTCCATGACAACAGGAATTTTATAAGTTCACAGGAATCAAATACAGTATGTCTACATATTTTTTCCCTTCAGTGTTTATCCCCTATTACAGCAACATGAACGCAGCTTTGTATTCATCAGGGAGTGCTGGAACAGGAAATAGATGTTAATGACTTGATGGATGTTTTTTGTTCATGGGACAGTTCACTCGAGAGCAGTTGAATGTCAACTGTTTTAGAGGACTGTCAGCGAACCCGCTGTGTTAGCAATGAGATATGAAATAGTGACGTGCTACTGTTATGAGATTTGCTTTATCAGTTTGACAGATTTATATAATCTAACAAGGTAGGGGAGACCGTGGACTGTTGTAACATGCTTCGTTGTGACAGTGTTTTGTGTTTCAGACCTTAATATAATATATATTAAGTTAATGTTTTTCTGCTACAAATTAATTTAGATCAACCACTTCTCCCTAAACTGTAAGAAATGTATTGATTTTATTTTATTTTTTTGCTGGTGTTTTTCATTACTACACTTGTTAGACTTCTCAGCAGGGGACATTGTTAACTTCCCCTTGTCTCGTCCTGTGTGTCCTCAGGCCCATCTGCTAAACATTCCCAGCTGGAACTGGAAGGAGGGTGATGATGCGATCTGCCTGGCCGAGCTGAAGGCAGGCTTCATAGCCCAGAGCTGCCTGGCACAGGGCCTGTCCACCATGCTCGCCAACCTTTTCTCCATGAGGTCATACATCAAGGTACTGTCAACCCGTCTTGAGCCTTGATAAAACCCATAGAGTAGAATCAGCCTCCATCCCCACTTCAGCTCAATCACCAGAGCCATTATGGTATGGAGTAAATCATCTTCTGAGCCTGGCGGTCTCATTTGGGACCTACTCGGGTCGGCAACACAGCATTGCCGCTGCCATTATGAGGTAATTTATATGAGTCAATGGCATGGCGGAAGTGAGAATGTAAATTAGTGGTTTTTCCTCTTGCTGAATTTACTGTCCTCCTGCGTGCCGATAGAGCGGGGAAATGCGAACCATGTGTCTGTTTCATAGTCAATGAACTGCACCCCAAAGCCATCTTTATTTATCGTCCAACTGAACCAGACTGCTCAGAATCGTACGGATTGCTCTTTTTAAGAAAACACTAAATAAAACGGTCCGAGGCCTGAATGACTGCAGTGAGGTGGTGGGTTGTTATCAGGTGGTTCAGATTTGGATGGAGCCCTTTGGAAAAATGGAGAGATCAAGAGAGAGCATGAGCGTGCGATCAGACTGAAGAATTTCGCAGAGATCGTAAAACTTATTCTGAAATCCGCAAGGGGTTATATTTTACTTTCTTTGATTAATTTTTTTCAAGACTGTGCAGGCTTTCAACATGGAGAGCAGCATTCTCTTGTCATAAAGAGATGAGGAATGACTTTGTAATGACTGTTTAAATGTGGCATATGTGGAAACATCTGCAGGGCACATCAGTCTTCTCATAAAAACATGGAGGAGAGACAGCCCAGACCACCCATGCCAGAGTGCAGCATACAAACACACACATCAGACCTCTCAGACCAATGTCCATACTTATAAAAGATACCATGGTAACACCAAAATCACTTTCTATGTCTCAAACAGGGTATCTGTTAGGGTGAAGAGGAAAGTGTATCAATACTGTTTAAAATGCCAGTCATCTCTTAATGAGTCTGATGGCAACATACTGTAATACAGAGAAAAATTAACATTATGTCCATCAGCTGTCAGTTGTAATTAGGTTAGTTGTAAAATAGGCTTTGTCCCAATACTACATTAGCTGCCTTACTGTCTGCTAGGGATGTAATGGTACACAAAACACTGCAAAAAATGGCTTATCTTACTTAGTATTTTTGTCTTGTTTCTAGTCAAAATATAAAAAAAATCTTAAATCAAGATACTTTTACTAGATAAGCCAAATGACTTAAGATATTTAAAACTCTCAAGAGTAAAAGTGACAGTAAAAACTTTTACATTGTTAGAAAAGATTTCTATTTCAAAATGTACCGTTCATTAAAGAATTCTGAAAAAAACAAACAAAATAATAAATATAAATATATATATATCAAGTAGCAGGTACTATTTACTCTTCTGTAATGCAAATATGTAATTTCTACTGCATGCATAAATAAATAAATATTATCAGCATGTTTAATGTTCAATAATCGTGAGGTAGATCCTTTAACTTTAATTGGCAACCATAACAAAGCCTCTCTAGTGGTATAGAAAATTTCTAGCAAACATTTCTTGTGCTTGTGTGTAGGCTTAAACAGCACAGGTGTTTTTAGGCTTTCGTCTGAAATATCTTCAGTCAGTTTCCATCAGCAATTTCACATAAGGCACAGTGATACCCAAATAAGACAACACAGACAATGTGTGAGAGTGTAAGGGCAGTCTGTCTGCTGCAGGAGCGAGGTTAGAGAGGGCCGGTGGAGTAGACAGCATCATGACTGATTTGAGTGGGCATTCAGGAAGCAGAGCAGAAGGGTGTTACCGAGAGGTGTTAATGAGACCCACACCCCAGAGACGCACACATTCACACAGCCACAAACACATTTGCATTATATCTGTTGTCCTAACTATAAATTTGTGATGTGTTGTGCCGTTCGCTACAAATAAAACCACAAGAATGTTCAGCATGAATATTTTATCTCTTCAGGTTTAACAAAAAAGCAGTAAGCAGAGGGGTTTTGGATCGGGCTCTCTAGAGGGACTGGAGGAAATAATTGTTCAGTGGGTGCGAGAGAACACGCCCGCAACACTTACATCAGCACTGACAGGCAGGGCGCAAACGCACGGGGTAATTTAGGGAGCCTGCAGTAAATGGCTGCCATCTCTTTAGGACTAAATGACAAATCTCTACCGATTAGTGCCGCCCTAAAAGATGCCTGCCCAGAATGCAAGTGCTCTTAGCCTGGCAGTGGGAAAGGGAGTCGGGCCTGGCTTTGAAAGCGTCTCTCTTGACTGTCTGTCAGACAGACGTTGGCTGGGTGAGATGGCTGACTAATGGCAGAGTGTTTGCCTAATAGCCCTGCTGCTTATCACAGCCCCACCCGCCCCACATCCTGAGACGCATGTAATGAGAGGATGATGAAGAGACCAGCTGTGAGCTCAGACACGGGAATATGCCTGGCCTTTATTCTCGAAGTCTGACAAAGGTTGAAATGTTACAGGTGTGAAAAAATGAGAGAGCAACTTCAAAGTGAAAGGCATGTTTAAGCTGTGTTTTGCATGAATGTTACTCACGGTATGAGACTGTGCACAATGCATCTTTGGGATTATTCACCTTAGTCAGGGTAGATGCCATATGTAATTTGATGCACATGAAAACAAGGCTTTGAGGGAAAGAATTATATACCATACATTTAGTAGATACACTGCCTCATTTTCTCAACCTATGTTTCCTAGAGCTTTTTGTTCACTGGAAGATTTTTGGAAAGACATGTTTGTAAAAGGATAGTTCACCCAAAAACAGTCGTCAGTTATTTACTCTCATGTTATTCCAGAACCATAAGACTTCAGTAGTATTGATTTCAGTGCCTCCATTGAAAATCCATTACACCAAAACTTACACACTTTAAAAAGTTCATAAAGGAATTGTAAAATTAATCTGTATGAATCAAGCAATTTAATCTAAGTCTTCTGAAGAGACACATTTACTTAATATGAAAAACTGATTTATTTAGGCTTTTATTCACATAAACACATGTACATAGTCTACATCAAATATGGTAAACAAACCTCATTGTTTTTGTTTTTTTTGCATCAAACTTTCCACTTACCATATTTAACGAGCTCTATGTATGCGTTTTTGATCAGTGTTTTTATATGAATAAAAGCCTACATTTAATCTATTCAATCTCAAAATCTTCTGAAGAGACACAATTCCTTATATAATATAAAGCAATTGTGTCTTGTCAGAAGACTTGGATTAAAGTGCTTGATTCATATGATTTTCTTTTATAATATATTTATGGTTTGGTGGAATGGATTTTTAATAGAGGCACATAAATCACTCAGGTTTCATTAAAAATATCTCAATTTGTTGATGAGCAAAAGTTTTATGGGTTTAGACAAGAAGTTGAGCAAATGATAACATAATTTTCATTTTTGAGTGAACTATCCCTTTAAGTCAGATATAATTTTCTTGAGTCTTTTTGTAAAAATGTTTAGACATGTTCTGATTGCTATCTAGCCATTCCCATCAAATTAAATATGCTGTCCTCCCTGACTGTGTGTATCTGAATCCAACTGTATTTTCTGTGCAGATTGAGGAGGACACATGGCAGAAGTATTATCTGGAGGGAGTGGCCAATGAAATGTACACTGAGTACCTGTCCAGTGCCTTTGTGGGGCTTTCATTTCCTACAGTTTGTGAGTAAGTATGCTTCTGCTCTAAAGCATGGGAGCTTTACAGCATGTCGTTACTCTGTATACAAACACATTGTAGTAAATATCATAAATTATTGCCTTTTAATATACTGCCAAATTTACTGCAGACCTGAACTATCACATGTCCTAATTTTGTTTGTCCACACTGAATGCGAAACTGTTACTTGACACAATCACAGCCAATTGGAACAAATTTGATGTTTAATGTTTAAAGCAAGATTTTTAACCAATGAGATTTCATGGTAATAGGGTCTTCTGATTGCACTAGATAAACATTAATTAGTTTGGGTCTTATGAATTTAAATGGCTAAATGATGACTTCTGCACACTAAATGTCTATTCTTTGTTTCAGGCTGTGCTATGTGAAGCTCAAGTTGTTGTTGATCGCTATTGAGTACAAGTCAGAGCAGAGGGAAAGCAGGTTTGTTCCCATTTGGTCTTCAGCTCCACCATTCACAATACACTGACCAAAGAGGGGCAAAGCAGTTGTGTCTCTCATTGGTCCTATAGATCCCCTTCAGTATAGTTATCCTTTTTTTCTTGCTAGACATTATGTTGTAAGAAAAGGCTGGCAGGTTTTCATCATTAAATCTCTCTGCAAGTAATCTAATCTGGGTTCAAATTGAAATCGCTCTCATTGAGACAGCAGCATGTTACGTTCTGTCACTGGAGGAAGTTCGCCTCAGCTCGACTCTCACAGCATCACAATTGCCAATCACTGTCTGTAAGAGTCACCGTGAAGCCAAAGAGCCATGACATCTGCTCAGACTCACTATGCTGTATTGATGAGGGTGTACTCTCCGAGTAAAGAGCCTTCTATCAATAGCACTCTTGTGGCATTCTGTTAAGTGATCCATTTGAACTAATAACATGAAATACTCTGTCTCAGTAACTTCGACTTTGCCAAATCCCACCACCCCTTCCCACGTCCACAACCTGTGTTCCAATGTTTCTGTACACTGTAACTCTTACTAATGCATTTTGTGTACAGTGTGTACTAATGAGTGTGGTTTAGAACACAAGTTGGCCTGAAAACACACACACATCAAAATATCAGCCAGAAGACCCTTTTTTGTTCCCTTTTTTTAATAGGGATTGGTGGTATGACAGTATATATTATGGGACACTAGAAATGTGTGTAAACATGCTACATTACCATTTATTTTACAGTAGATGGATATATTGGTTAGGACAGCTACGTGTCACAGAACATTCCATGCAATAAAGTGTGGGATGTATGCCAAACAAGTTTTTTTTTATTTTTTTTTTATTTTTTTTATAAGTTTTTGCTGAGTGATATTTGTTAGGCAAAATGCAGAGTTTACAGTGGCAACATTGCAAGGAGCATTTATATGGAATGCCAATGAGTATTTTACATATTTTAGTATTTAAGGGGTATTTTAACGTGGCTCATCCAGTCAATTTAATCTTAACTATCCATTTTATAATGTTAGTTTTATAGTTTTGAATCTTTTGTTTTTTACTCAGGTGTGACATAATGCAAATGTTTTTTTTTTTCCATTCAGTTACATTGACTAAGTATTAATTTTTTTTTTTTTTTTAGGTTTTCCAATAAATTCAAAGTTAAAAGACAAAATGATCAAATGAGATGAATTGTATTTATTTTGTGAAGTATTTAATTCTCTGGATTATCTCAAAATAGCTTTTAACATATGGTGATTTAATAAATGAACAGTTTTCTTGTTTGTAATATATACCATTACCATGTTAAAAATGAGTCATGCTGTGATATAAGATTTTGCCCATATCGCCTACCACTACCCGGTTTTGCCATATTGTCTCTCGGAGAGATCTGTATTCAGAACAGTTATGAACTAGTTTTTACCTTTTTTCACTCTTTATGAATCACCTGCCAAAAGTGTAACACAGAACCTTGTTTTTCCTCAATATCACATTATAATGTCACTCATGTCCAGTATTCTTCGTGGCAACACACGCAACAAACGACTGTAAAACAGTTCCTATAATTTGATTACTTTCTAATGGATGGCTGTTAAACTTTGGTTAATAACTTTACCAAACCTCACATAATGGCAAAACCTTTAGAGGGCACAACATTATACTTTAGTGTAACTCTCAATTTGTTGTCCTGGGCTGGTCTAAACTTGGAAGCGCACTTTGGGATTTAGACCATAATTTTTCCTTTGTAGGACAGACAAGTTAACCAATGTGAAGCATTTTTTTTTTTTTTGGTGAAAGTGACTGTTTTGCCCTCTACTTTGGAGATTGACTGATTTTTTTTTTTTTTCATTTTCTGATCTTAATGTGCAGATACAGATGACTGACACCTCGCCTCCTTTTTTTCCCAGTCTATGTTTGATTTATAATGTTTTCTTGTTGTTTGCAGAAGCAGAAAGCGGTATGCCCTCTTCATTATCTCACCCCTCTACACTTTAGATCAACTGTGGGAGAAAAGCTTAAGGATATTGTACCACCTCCCTCTCAAAAATGGCCAAAATCTCTCGCTATCTCTCTTATTGTGATTCTCTTTGTGCTTAATGCACTAACTTCTTTGCAGGCAGAGAGAGTAGTTGCTATTGTTCGATTCACTTGTTTCTTCGTCTGTGCTTTTCACATATCAACACAGCATTTATCCACTCCATGTTCATTCATCTCTGTTTTTTTGTTCTCGACTTCCTCTATTCTCCTTTCCTTTTTGATTATTTTTCAGTGTTCATCAGCTGCAAATCATTTCTGGCTGTGTCTTTTTCAGCGTTGTGCTCTCCATGCGAACAGTACTTCGTTTTTTTTTTTTTTTTGTAATGCACCAAGAAAAGTGCCCTAATAGGAAAACAGCTGTACTCAGTGCATTATATATCAGAAAATACTAGTGTTTGTCCATTAAGAACTGATGTGTCTCAATATGGCAAGTTTTAATTCAGCAGTATTAAATGCTAAACACTGATTGGTTAGTAAAGGCCACACTATTCATGGCGACCATCTTTGCCTTTTCTGTCATTACCACTCTAACACTGTATTGCGTTTGTATGTCTCTGTGTGTTGGAGCGACTGTGATTTGTATTTGTGTGTGTGATGTTGATTCTGACGAGTGCGAGTGTGTGACTGAATGGTCGATCAGTGTGTGTGTTTGTCTGGAACTGACTATCATCATGTCCCCAAATGCCTGTGCGTCTCTGAGTAGATGTTTATGAAGTGAGGTCACTTCCTGTCAGTTTGGTGTTCTATACAACAATCCAACTGCACAGAAGTTACTGCAACAGTTTGCATCTACATGCCGCTGTGCGATGGCTGCACCTGCTCTCTTTTAGATGTGCCCTTGGTTGTGATGCTCTTGGTAACCGCATGCCCGTATGCTCTGTGAAGTGATGTGTGATGCTTGCTTTGTTTCCCATAATATGAGGTTTGGTCTGAACGGAAGCCTATGTTTCCATGCAATCGGTCTGTGATCAGCCCATTGCATAAGTGTCAAACGGTGTGAAAATCTCAAATTTGGGGAGCAATGTGTGCGAGTATGTCAGTGAATGAGTCTGTTTGTATTCATCTTCTGAACAGCATGTCAAATGTGCTGCTTCTCGCTAAGGGGGCTATTTAATCAGATATAAAGCTCAGTGATAAATAACCCAGCACAATGATTTCATGCAAGACAGAGCGCTTTTGACATTTTCATTACTTGACCAACCAATATGCTTTATGATGGATTAAATCCCCCTCTTTTGGCCTTCATTTCTGATGAAGTAGTTATTAGACGAGCCCAGGGGAAAGGATTTTGATAGACTGCATGTATCAAATGGTATTTAAGTATATGGATTTTTCAGAGCCTATGATGCTGGCCACCGTTTTGAGTCTGTGGAATAATAGGATGGTCTTTCATGTACCTTTCCCTTTCGTCTGGGCTCTCTGGCCTTGGCACTCTCGTCAGGCTGGGCATTTGTCAAGTGTTGCAGCCACCATTCAATTCATTGACGATTCCTAACAAATGGCAACCTTTGATGGCTATGTTGTGTTGTCTCGTCTCTGTCTAATTAATGGGGAATGATACAGTGGTTCAGCAGTGGCTCTGTCTACACTGCTGAACCTCTACAGTTACAAACCAGACTCTCTCAAATATCTGGCAGAAGCTGACATTAGATTCATAAACATCAAAAATTCCTCGCCCACCAAGGGAAGTCACAGAGACACTGACAGCGCTAGCTTAGGTTTGACAGCGACTGGTATTTGTTCACAATAGCCTGGGATTGATCAATCGCTAGGAGCCAAAACCCAGAGCAAAGGTTGCGTCAACCAAAACAATTCTGTCATTTACTGAATTTGATTCAGAATGCTTTGTCTTTTTGATATTAAAAAGAAAAAAAATGAAACCTATCAGTTTTCATTTTACAATTGCCATCTTTACATGTTTTGTATTGATTTAACATCCGTTCAAAAATAAAAAAATAAAAATAATAATTAGTACTTTTATTCAGCAATGCATTACATTGATCAAAAGTGACAGTAAAGACTTTTACATTGTTACAAAATGTTTCTATTTCATCAGAAATAAATAAAATATTAAGCAGCAAAAGGTACTCCCAGGTAAAACAAAAAGTGTTAATATTGGCTAGCAAGATGATATGACATGCAGTTCGTCATATTTGTATATAATAGTCAGTAACGTTAAACATGACAAATAAAAATATAAAATATCAGAGAAACATTACAATTCAGTCTGTCAGAGTAACAGATACTGATTATTGGTGGTATAGAGTCAGTGCTTATTTTTTAAATTCGGTTACACAACAACAATAATAAAAGTAATAACCATGGCTTAAATCTGATGCTACAAATGTAATGGTAACAATATTTATGACAAGGGTTTTGGAATTCCGCTTTCTTGTTTGCGTAGTAGCAACTTCAAGTAAAACTGCATGGCTTGTGTTGGCTTAGTTATGCTGTTGCCACAGTTTCAGAGACCCAGGATGCACCCTGAACTCTTGGTGGGCTGGTCATTCCCTTGCTTTCCACTGCACTAAAGGAATTAAATTGCGCTTCTGTGTGGCGATAGACCTCACACCATGAGTTTCTGAAGGCCTGTCGACCAGAGTCGCCTAGACTGTTTCCGCCCCAATTTTAATTCTTTCTTTTATCTCATCACCTAGACAATTCAGTATAAGAAAAAAAAAAAAGAATTAAAATGGGCTGGTCATTCTGTTGTGTACTGTACTGTATTTGTGTGAAACCAAGTGGCCTAAGCATTATTTTTGAATAGGTCCCTTTCTCTGCAGTATTTTTTGACAAAAGTACAATTCCCGTATCAAAATTTGATGCAGTATATGCATGTTTTCTCATCAGTCTTTTCAACAAGGTCCAAAAACACATGTACCATTCCTCTTGATTAGAGTGTTGAATGTGCAAGGTTGATTTTCATGTTAATGACAATGACCCTTTTTTCTGACTGAACAGTATTCTGATCAACCCGGGAAATCACGTTAAGATGCAGGAGGGGACTTTGGGATTCTTTATCGCTAGTGATGCCAAAGAGGTGAAAAGGTAATCATCTCTTCAATCCATCAAAATTACTTGTGCTCTTGAATTTAATTTTTCATTTTTAAATACAAGTGAAAACTGAAATTTGAAGGGCACACTTGAAGCAGAATGTTCAATTCTTTACTGTCTTTCTTCAGAGCATTTTTCTACTGCAAAGCATGTCATGATGACATCACAGATCCCAAAAGGATTAAAAAGTGTGGCTGCAAGAGAAGTAAGTACACCCGACCATCCCTCGCCTCATGTCTGAACGGAAAGTGTCCGCCGACTCTTTTTCACTTTGTAGGGCACTGCTACGTTGTGTAACATGTAACATTTTTTTTTTTTGAAAAGTTACATATTGTAAATAAAATAATAGGCTGATGTCAGGCTCAAAAAACAAAAACAAACAAACAAACAAAAAACACTTGCAAGGCAGCAAACAAATAATGTTTAAAAATCAGATTTTTTTTTTTTAAGTTCACAGTTTTGCTTTTCTACTCGCATATTATGTACAAAAACCAAAGCCAACTTTGCATTAATATTAAGTTGTTAGCAACAGCTTTCTTTATAACTGTAGTGCTTAAACTTGAAAAGAGCCAGTCGTTTAACAATCCCCCCGCTTTTTTTTCAACTATTTGAATTTTATGACTCCCATGGCCTTATAGGATAGTAAAGTGTAAATCAGAGGTGTGCTGCTGAATCTTAGCAGAAACAGTAGGTAATCTGAGTATTTTCACATACTTTTAGATGAATACTGCGACACACTCCTCATTTAATCATGTGCAGCTATAACTGATTAAAAACACTACCATTCAAAAAGGGTACGATTTTTAAAGAAATAAATGCTTTTATTTAGAAAATACCCATTCAATGATAATTTACTGTCATCAAAAGTGACAGTAAAGACTTTTATATTACCAACAACAAAAAAATGCTGTTTTTTAACTTAAATTATCCTTGAAAAAAATATTAATTTCTAAAAAAATATTAAGTAGCAAAACTATAATTTCAACACTGATAATAAAAAGAAATGTTTGTTGCGCAATGAATCCGCATATTAGAATGATTTCTGAAGAATCATGTGACACTGAAGACTGGAGTAATGGCTGCTAAAAATTCAGCTTTGCATCACAGGAATAAATTACATTTTAAAATATATTCAAAAATATTGAAAGTTATTTTCAATTGTACTTATATTTCACAGTGTTATTGTTGTAACTTTATTTTTGATCAAATAAATGTAGCCTTGGTGTGCATAAGAGACTTCTTTCAGAAAAAAAAAAAAAAATCATATCGACCCTAAGCTTTTTGACAGCAGTGTAAAGAAGATGAGACCAATTGCAATTCAGCATGCAAATAGATGTAATGGAGATAACCGATTGCAATTCAGAATGAAAATATTACAGTGATGTCATCACAGTTGTTTCCATTTTGAATGATAGAATGTTCAGCTGTCAGTGGAAGATTTTCACACTTTAGTCTTAAATTTCTTAATGTGTGAAAAAAATTGATGTCATGTCTAAGACCACAATTATCTACAAAACACATTGCTGCCTTGCAGTCACAACAAAAAGACGAGCAAAATTAGTAGAGCCCCTAAGGTGTTTTTTTTTTCACTTTGAGAACAACCATATGAAAGAATAAGGAGAAAGCAATGAACTGTAGAAAAGGAGGGATAAAGATGACAAGGTGAAAGAGTGAGACTCTTGAGGAAAGCCAGTCATCAGCATGCTAATGGTGGAGAGAGATACAGATGTAGAGAGGGAATGACATGATTAGCAGGGTTGAAGAGAGAGGCTGTCAGCTCATGGTGGTGTCAGTAGGGGAGAGGCAGAGGTAATGACACCAGTCAGGTGGAAAAACAAAAGGCAAGAGCAGCTTGGCCCACCCTCGCCAGACACACCGAAAACACACTCCTGGCTCAGGATCATTTTACCAATCATATCCACCCTGTTTACCCAGAACGCCCAGCGCAAGTGCCGGTCGGACGCACCACTGTCATGTCCCGCTGCCTCAGCCCGGTGAAAACACTTTCTGACAGGAAGTCACTGAAGTAGAAGAGAGATTAATAGCTCAGAGTGTAGTCCACTGTCAGAGCAGCTCCTGCAGACATTTATATAATTTGATAGAAATGTATTTCCTTAAACACCCTCTTAATTATATATACATGCAGCAACACCTACATGTTTGTTTTCATTTGCTAATCTTGGCTTCGTAGAATGAAGCAATATTTATGTTAAGTAGAGCGTGCATTAACTTTAATGTTGGAATGATGCATTGTTATTACATGACCTATATAAGCATTTGTCCAAACCAGTTAGCCACAAGATGAATAATTCAGATTCGTTCCCAGTGACCTTTCGCTGTGCACACTTAAACAGCTGCAAACCCGTGTTTATTTATTTATTTTTATGTTTGTTTACATCTACATCATTTGAAAATTATATATGTTGTTTCAGATGATGCACTTTGACAACACGTAGACTATCTTTTTTTTTTTTATGTTTTGAAGTCTCTTATGCTCACCAAGGCTGCATTAGTTTAATCGAAAATACAGTAAAAAAAAAAGTAATATTGTGAAATATTATAACAGTTTAAAATAACTGTTTTCTGTTTGAATTTATTTTAAAATGTAATTTATTCCTGTAATGGCAAAGCTGATTTTTGAATGAATGAATGAATGAATGAGGGATTAAAATATTTTTTTCAGCATCATTGCTTCAGTCTTTAGTGTCACATGATCCTCCAGAAGTCATTCTAATATGCTGATTTACTGCTCAAGAAGCATTTCTTATTATGATCAATGTTGAAAACAGTTGTGCTGCTTAATATTTTTGTGGAAACTGATACTTTCAGTTTTCACCCCAATTAAATGTTTTTGATTATATGCACCCTCCCAAAACCAAATGTCACCTAAGAAGAGGCCAGTAGCCTTACAGTAAAGGAGATGAGGTTTCCATTGCTGTAATGGAAGTTTGTGTTCTTTTATTTCACCCTTTATGGTCATTGACATACTTCTTGATGTATTTTCTTCCTTGCTGCCTTGGAATACCGCCTCTTTATTTAAACCTCTCACTGGTAGTGACATATTGTGAGTAAAAACGGGTTTCCTGTGGCCAGAGTACAGTCTGACTGTCTGACTGTCTCACTCTGATAATAGTTCTATATATCTATATCTATATATATGTTGCATGTATCAGTCTAGCTGCTGCATCCCTCCTACACCTCATCTCTCCACTGTCCTCAGCCCAAAACAATACAGCAGAATTTACTGGCCTGAAAATGACCCAGCCCTGACCCCCTACAATCCAGTCTTTAACAGGAGAGAACAATGAGGCCGTGACCAATAACACAATTCCTCCCAAAGATTTACTCACAGCACCATTCTGAAATCGGAGATTCATTTCAAAGGTTGTTTGACCCTCCAGAAACTCAGTGAAACCCGAAATGGCTAGATTCATGATCATGACAATCTGAAAAGTCAAACAAACCGATTGATTTTGCTACTATTAGTCATGGACTTCACGAGTGCCAAGGGGGGGAGGTTAAGTCCACTTGAATCTGTCCCCTCGCTGTCAGAGGCAATTTTGCATGCTGCTGTATTTTCAGTTCTGTGGGAAGTTCTTCAAATTCTTAGGCTTAACGAGCATCGTCTCCAAAACACAATCAAAACAATCTGGTCTCCCTCTTGCCTACAGCCTCCCCTTTGTCTCCACCTCCCGGCCCCTGCCCAGCCTCTCTACACGACACAACAACCATCAGCAGAATTGAAATGTTCTACATTTCAATTCTTTTCAGTAGTTGGGTCCTTTTTTACTCACTGCCCTTACTGATAGGTGCATCTCTCAACGTTAGGCGCATGGTGGTATTGACCTTTGCTGTACACAACGTTGGCCACTAGATGCCACTGTAGTTCTACAAATTAGATGGGAACAATGAGGTCCTCATAAACCTATTTAGCAAGATTGCTATCAGCCAATGTGCAGTGTAGGGTCTTCTTACTTGTCACCTAGGTTTCTTTATGTAGGTCTCCCCAAGGAGCCATGGTGTTGTTTGCTTTATATTGGTTTACAGATGGAGGTGTGTTTGTTTTTAAGTATTTTAAGCATGCAAGGCTTCACTGTATCTAATATTACTCCTTTTCTTGTAAGAATAAAAGCTCAAAATAGGCTATTATGTGCATACGTAAAGCTTGCAAATATGTTCCTGTCCATTAGTATTTTAACATACGATGCAGCCTGCTTTGAATTATGGGAAGTTGTAGGGTGAGGACAGATGTTAGGGGTGCTGAGAGCATTCTTGCTACATCGGGTTGTCCTGTTAAAGAGGCTTCAGTAATTAGGCTCTCTGTGTAGTCATGTTCAGTCACTCACATCATCATGTCTTGTGTCTCTTCCGCCCTCCATGTCTCACTGACTAACATAACCACATGCTATGTACTCCGATGAATGTCAACCCTCAAACTCTGAAGCGACATATTTCAGCATGAAATTAAGTAGAAGCCCCGCTGCTGCATGTTTTTACATGGCCTTAATCTGTTTCAGCCCTGTAAACAGTTGACTGGGCTGCCATTTCAAGAGATACGACCACGGTCGCCTCCCACTGCATGCCTGTTCTTCTTAATTTCAGCTATTCTGCATGGTTCTATGCGAATAACAGCCCCTGAGGTTATGGCTCTAAAGGCCAAGTCATTTACCGTATTATCTTTCCAGCATACAACTGAAATTGGCCTCTTAATTCGGGCTCATAACCTCAGATGGAAGTCAAAAGCAGGCTTTTCCCTGTGGATTGTTTGCTCTTTTGAGGGTGCCAGACTTGATTATGGTCTGTTAGCGAGGTGGCACCGGGAGAATGCATACCAAGGACCGTTTTTAGTCCGATTCACAGCAATCAAATGCTGCTATAGTCTCTCACCACAGCTCCTTTGAGAGCCAAAAAAAATGCATACATATACTCCACGCACTGTATGTTTGAATCAAATGCGCAATGCATGTGAAAGCATCTTCTAATCAGGGGCCGAAGAAATAGCATATTGGCATGCTACCACACAAATATCCCAACCAATCCCTGATTGAGCAGAGTTTGACAAACAGAATAGACCGCCGACGTTAGAGCCTGTAGCACGTTGTGATGCCGATAACCTGCTGCTGCATGATCTGATACAGGTACGTGATCCTCTCTTTTAGATACAGAGGATGTTATCCAAAGAGGTTTTGCTGCTGAACACATTCACCCATTCCTCTCTGCCTGAATGTCCCTTGCCCCAACCCCTGATCATATTGTCATATCTGACCTTTTATGACATGATCAGCCTTAGGGCACGGCTTGACCCCAATGAGACGACTGCTTCCTGCCTAAACAAGCCCTCTATTAGATGTTTTCAAAGTCCAATTTGTATGAATCTTCAAATTCGGATCAAACTTCACTTCTGCAGTGTGAACGGAATCAGAAGCATATTTCAAGCAGGAGCGCAGTGGTCCATCTGCGGGTCAAGTCTGTCAGTGCTTGCTGCTAAGGCATTGCACTTTCTGTTTCTGTTTTTGAAAAAGTTACCTTCAGACTTCCCTAGTTGAAAAAACTCTTTTGATCCTTGCCATTAACCTGCTGCTTTCCTCTCCTCTCATCCAACACATGACTGTAGCCAAGATGTCCGTCTACAAGCGAATGAAACTGGCATGTTGTTTTGATTGCGGGCGCTCTCAGCACGACTGCTCGTGCATGTCAGGCAGTGTACATAGTAACATGGACAGTCTTCAGAGGGCCTTCCCACTTTCTTCTGTCTCTGTTCATGATTGCTCAACCAGTTTACGTGCCTGTAAGTTTGATCTCCAAACCACATGCCGTTCGATGTCCGTGACTTGAGTGTGAGTGTGAGTGTGCGTGTACGTAAGTGCGTGCGTGTCTGTGCCGTGTTTCATGTGCTGTGTGTTTCGTTCTTCCACTATTTCCAGATATGTGGCGTATTGGTTGGTACACTAGTACATATTCTTTTTTGTTTGGTGAATTGGTGGTAGTTGAAGTGACGTGGCTTCTCTGTGTTAGTGCTGCAGTAGGTGCAGTAGGACTGTGTTAGCGCATGCTGTGTTAGTGGAGCACTTGTGTGGTGCTGGTGACCTTTATGCAGTCACTGTTTTGGTGTTTACACTTTTAAATGGCGGGTGTACATGTATCTGTTAAATAACTGTATGATGTGCTTTTAATCAAAACATCTATGGGCTAATTGTGTACATTGACACTAATGATGTTTTGACAATGTTTTCATGTTCATGTGATTTTTGAAGACCTTCTTCAGATTAAGGAAGATGCATGGCTAACTGTTTTTTTTCCCCCCCAGGTTCAAACACTGGATACCCACAATCCTTTGGTCTTTGAGTTTTGAATGTGTTCAGTTATTGCGGGCCATCTTGCCCAATTTAAAACATTAGAAACAAGCAAACGTCTATCTCACTGCTCAAGATCCCTTTTGACTATATTTGTTCACTGAGCAAAATTGGAAGGATATCAGTAAATGAAAAAAAAAGTCAAACAATATATGTCCATTATTTACTAAAATCATGTTTAATTTGCATGCCAAATGCTAGATTGTGATTGAAAGGGATCTTTAGTAAGATTCTTCTGTTCATAGAGTGTAAGAATATACTGGCAATGTCTTTTCTGCTATTCTTGGAAAATCATGTTTTACAACCACAAGCCATTAATGCCTCCACCATTTCCACTGGCTGAAATAAAACCTCTTCCTTCAGTAAAGACCACATTTAGGTGCAATTGAAAAAACACGTCAAACTCTCTCCCCCTTTCCACAGGATCTGATCTTCCTCGATGATTTTCTCTTAGCCAGCAATCAGGGGAGAAAAAGTCAATGTGCTTTATTTAATGCCTTGTATACCACAGTGGTACGACTGTCAGGCTCAATGGGAAAGTTAAAAAGAGATCTCCTGACAGGAACTCAGTTGAGATGGCGGTGACTCAGGCTATTGGATGAGGTCAGATGACTGAAGCAGTTAGTTGTGTAAAGGACAGCGCCGAACAGGGGTCTTCTCATTAAGCCGTAGCAGATGTGAAATACTAAAGCGTCTATCAATTAGGAATGGCAGCGGTGCGACCTACTATAAAAGCAAGGGTCAGTTCAAGCGATCGCATTTCCTCTACAACTGCCTTCTGACTGTTCACCACATCAGCTTAGATTAGCATCAAACCCTATGATGAGGTTGACTTTGTGTCTTGTGTTTTGGTCTGTGGTGACATCCCTGGATACCAGTTACTGGTCATTACCTAGTTACTGATCTCTTCACGTAGCGTCATCCTTCGTTGGTTTTTGCTGCTGCCGTTTTTTCTGAATTTAGTGCATTTTGCCAAGGCTGACAGCTAATGCCAGCTGCGGCTTTGTTTTGACTCTCTCCCATCGGTTTCGTCTCAGATCTAGCATTACATCTCTATGATGAGGAATTCACAGAGTTCCTCCATCTGACTTTGATTTTGCTCAGTCAATAATGATTTTCTGATGAAATTCTCAGAGCACGTCATCACGTTATTGACCTTGTTCTGAATATTTGCAATTTGGCATTGTTTTTGTGTGTATCACGGTCATTATAGTTAGCTAAAACAAAAATTAAAACCATAAAATAAATGTTAACCGGAGAAAAAAAAAAAAAGTGTAAACTTTTTTTTTCATTTCAGCTTGTTGGCAAGGCAACATTTCTCATTTTAAATTAGTTTAACTTGAAGTACTAAAATAACTAAAAACTAAAATTGAAATGCTTTTAATAATAAAAAATAAAAATGACAAACAACAAAATTACTAAAACATTAACTAAATCCGAAATGAAATCGGAAAATTCAAAAGAGTCAAAATATTAATAAAAAATATAATAGTATCTCATTAATACTAACATAACACTGGTGTGTGTATATATTTAATATGTATATTTTTTCTATATAGTTTATTTTCATTTATATTTGTTTTGTGGACATGTTTCACACCGCAAGTAATTTATTACCTTTATTTAAAAAGCCACTGTGGCTTCCTCAGTGGCTACAACTTCCATTTGTATGTCTATTTTATGGCAGTTTTCCCAAAAATTATGATTTTGTTCTTTTGAACACGTGGGGCACAATTGCTACCTTATTTATCTTATTTTTGTGCTATTTTCTCACTTTTTGCATCAATTCAATTTGCAACTTTCACAACTAAACTGACGATTTAGTGGCACTCTCCGCTAAATTGCAGATTATGTGTTCCCACACCCCAAATGGGTCCGAAAGCATAAATATCATCACATCCCTGTGCTAGGCATGATATGGTGGTCTTATACCTGCACATTATAGTAGCCCAGTTATTGCTGAAATAAATACTACTCCCCTGAATGCAGTAATTTTGCTGAATGCATGAAACGTGTGGCAGTAAATGCACTCTGTCTTACAAAAGTAATGTTCCCTGATGGGCGCTTTCTCAAACAGCCCTCGTGCAATTTTTGTTCTGATTCTGTGCATGCATCACTCAGGATGGTAATGCTCCTGTCTGCCAAAGCCAGACAAAGAATTATTAGTATGAAAATGAGATGCGTGAGAAGTCGACACTATGTCTTTCTTGCGCTCCTTTGGCTGCAGTCAAAGCCCAGAGAGACATTGACAAGGAGTAGGGAGCAATGGAGCACTCATTATAGCTCTGGTGCACTGCACACTATTAAGAAGAGTTTGTTATCTCTGCAAGTGCAGGCTTTAGGGAGCAAATATCCTGAACGAGTGAGTTAGCTGCCTCCGCTCTAAGTTACAATGACAACAACAGTCCCTCCGCTCCACCTGCCGAGACTTATCCCCTCATTACACGAGCTTTAAAGACTCTCAAGGTGCTCGGCATCACAAAGGGTATTAATTCCTGTTTTGAGCCTTCACAAGGAAGTTTCCAGCAGGGCAATCTTAGACATGTCTGTTTTGTAAACAACAGTCGCCTGGCACACTGAGAGGGGTTGCGGCTTTTTGGATTTTTTTTCCTTCTCTTTTTCCTGTCCTCATGCCTGCTCTGGTTGGTTATGGAGTTTGCCGAGGACGTGACGATTGTGGCGGGGCGGGGTGGCGCAGCCCAGAGAGTGGATCTTGTCCACTCCCTGCAGGGTGGAACTCAGCACCGTCGGCTCTTATGCAGCCTGACATGAAAATTATGTTTGCATTTTCATTTCCCCAGCTTAGCTGGTGTGTCATGAAACTCAACCTGACAGTTCCTTACCACCAGGCAGGAGCAGGGCCGGTCATCCCCTCCACCATGTAGGACAGATGCTAGCCAGAGAGTCGGCCGACTCTTCCTGGGCCCGCAGATCGCAAGCGACATATGCCAGGACCGGCACGGGGACCCTGCTTGAGCGCTTGTGTCACCGCCCCGCCCTGGGCCTGCGCCGTGACCTTTATGGCATCAGATACAGTACTCATAACGAAAGATGAGACTTTGCAATGATGGGGGCAGCAGTACAGAGCAGCCTACATGCATCCAAAACATCCTGCATTATGATTATCTGCAACAAACCCGGATACATACAGTTTCATATGCAACATATGACTTAAAGTCAACATGAAATTAAAATTGAAACTGTTTACCTGCTTAATATGCATTCCAGGTCTTATTTTAAATGATTCGGTGCTCATTATTCCAAAGACAGAAATAGTTTGGCCTCGTAACGGTTAATCAAATTGGCCTGATCTTTTTCTCTAAAATGACTTTTCAATTTTTCCAAATTTTCCAAGTTATGTCATTTAGGCTGCGCAACCCAATCAGTTACCAATAGATCAACTACATTTTTAAAATATTCTTTTGAAAATGGTGTTTTTAAATATTGATGTATTAAACTATTATTTAATATTGAAATATGTTGGTTAATTTAAAAAAAATCTGCAATATTAGTTCTTTTAAAATATTGTAATATTAAATATGAATTCATATTATCTCTAGTATTGTTCACATTAATGACTAATGTTGTTTGCTTTGTCACAAGTTTGTAGCATATAATAATCTTGATTCTCCCAGCATGCCATGCCTACAGTTTGGCGTTCATCTGCAGTTGACATGATAGTAATTACCGATCAAAAATGATCAGCGGTTAATTTTTACAGAAGCAATTATGTGATGGGAAACATCTGTAATTTGTTGTTTAACTTATTTGCTTAAGCCTCAAGATTGCTAACATCTGTTTGATGAGTTTCACTGGTTTTCATCAAATTGAGTGTCAAGGATAAAATTTTGACTTATCAAAGCGTTCTTTTCTCCAACCAAATTCCAAATACCATAATGATCCTTGTGAGGTTGGTCGGATTTGGGCAGTATATTCGTCATAGATCTTTGGATCCGTGCTGTGGAAACACTGAACAGGCAGCTTGATTTTCATCGCTTCATTTAAATCCAGTCCCTCCACCAATCATCTCTTTTGTTTTTTGTTTCTTTAATCATCTCCTGCTTATATAATTATCTTCATCAACTTCTTTGCTGTAACTGCTGTTAACTTGACTTTTCGTCCTCTCTGCTCTTGTGCGAGTGTGATATACTGTCTTTCTGCTATCTGTCTCACCCTCATTCTCTCTCTCTTCCTCTCCATATCCTCTCATTGGTCTCTGCGTTCCCCTCAGCCAAATACAAGTTTAACGGATATGTCAGATCACGTAAGTGTACTTTTCTGTTTTCCTCATTCCCTCATTCATTCGTGCATTCTGCCTGCTTTGGCTCTTTGCTTTTGATTTTACCCCCACTAGCATTACAGCACAAAAGCTGCCATCCTCAGCTCTCTGTAGATTACTTGGGATTGATGGGAAGGGGGGCCGTGATGACAGTTTCTCAGCACTGGGTTCTGGTCAAGTGCATCAGAGGGGCTGCTCGACTTTAAAACATGTGCATGAGGAAGGTCAGGTGCTGAATAGAGGGTTCCATATGAAATCCAGATGTTGCATAAAGAGCTCTGTGTCCTTGCAAGGGTTGATTGAAGAGCTAGAAATGCTGTGAGGCATTGCACATGTTTCTGTATTGTGAGGCCACCAACAGCAGATGGCGCTGCAACTCCAGGGAAAACGGGATCGCAGCGGCAGTCTGGGGTTCGGTTCACAACTGAATGTGTTTTAGGAAACTAACTAATGCTGAGAGAGCTTTAGCTTTATTGCTATTAAATTTCATTTCATATGTATCCTGATGTATTTTAATAATTGATAGGCTGAAGTGAGAATTTATTTTTAAACCGTTTTAAATGGTTTTTGTTATATTTATGAACCTGGAGGACAAAAAAATGATTTAAACTGCAAAACAATTTTAAAAGATATAATAAAAAAATCGTATGCTAATATTATTAATAAGTAGGAGAATTTAAGGTGATTCAAATGTTACAATTTTTCAAAAGTGTGTGCATGCCGAATTGACTTATGTAGAGCAGCCATAAAATTAGATAAAGTTTTAAAATGCATTTTCTCACAGATGTATTTTCTATAATTTAACAATGGCCTTGACAAGAATGCACAATTGTGGCTCGTCACAGGATTTGCATTTCATAAAGGGACAGTTGCCGCCTGGATTACTGTAAATCCACAGTGAAAGTGCCACAGCGGATGTTCTCTGTATAATGCTACTCGTGTTTGACAGGGGCCAGATGAATCCAGGAGTTATCTGTGGCGGCCTTTAAATCTATGCGGCAGCTGACGGCAGCAATAACCATCTATTTATTGCTCTGAGCAAGGTTTGGGGAGCGAGCGGGAACTGCTTTTCCACTTACACCAGATATTGGTTAACCTCTTGCCTTTTATGTAGATAGCATTAGGCTGGAGTCTTATGGCTGGGATGGCAGGCAGTGAGCCCCGTGTGAAACACTCCAGGTCCCTTATACACACCACATACTCCCCCGTCTGTCAGACTGCAGATTGTTGTCATTTTGGTCCTTTTTACGGCTTAAACATTTTCGCGGATTGTGTGATGTATTTATTTTCGCACATTTTAGATACATCGTTTCAACATGGTTTTGTCGTATATTGAGGCAGAATGTAAAGAGATTGCTATGTTCCCTTGTGTGAGCACATCCCTACCTGGATTGAGACCTGATTCATTGTGACGGTGATCAGGAATAGTATGTTCGTGCTTTGTTCTGTCTTGTCGCAGAGCAGGCGGAGAAGAAAGTGCTTCTATTTAATTCATGTTTATTAGCAATGGAAAAGCTAATGTCATATTGAACATTTCACCTAAAGCGCTTGCCAAGTGGTTAAGTAGTGTTTAATAAAACTGAGGGGTCATCGTCAATTATTCAAATATGCAGCGGTTGCCTTTATGGCACACAGATTTGTGGATCTGTCTGTAAATGGTAATCGAAGGGGGAAATAAATGGCGCAACAATGAAAATCATGTCAACTTGTATTTTCATATTTAAATATTTATGTGATTCTCATGCAGTTCAGTGATAAATTATGAATGCTTCAATGTTTTAATCATAATATATTTAGTTTAGAAGCACTAATGGCATGTGCTTTTAGGTGACTTCTATGTAGCAATTTTAAATCTTATGTAAAACACTTTTTATTTTATTGTTATTTTTTTAAACTGGGATTTGATTTTAATTTACAGCCTCTTAAAATATTTGATTATTTTACCTTCTTATGACACGTTTAGTTCAGGTTGTAAAATGTCATGTGGTGTGACTGCCCAAAAGCTTCATGATATACATGTGATAATAATTAATGTTAATAAAAAATAAAAAAAAAGTATATTTAAAACCTTTTTGAAAATAATGTAAAGGATATGTATACTCACATTCAAGGTGTAAAGAAAATGTTAATACATTTAACTTGCACCGCATGCAATTTTTAGTCATTTAATTAAAACTTTTCTAAAAAAAAATAGTATAAAACTTTTTCAAAACCATATGAAACCAACATGAATACAAAGAAAATTTTCTAATAACTTGTGTACGTGTGTTTTAAACTAGATTTTTTTTTTAAATTTTCCTTTTCTTTATCTTATATGTCACTGACCCAATTCACAATCATCTCTCATTGCTTTTGTCTTGCACTGTTTGACAGTAAAGGAGGAAGTTAGAGCGACTTTTCAAAACCGCTCGATCAAACTGGCCAACAGCATGGCTGTTCCCAACACTCTTCCCAGTGTGCTGCCGGTTGTGGAGTGCTCCACGACTGCCGTACCTCTTGTTAATAACCGTAAAGGAAGTCTTCTCCCTCCGGCGCCGCCCTCACAGTCACGACTCAGCCTGGCTGGTCTGAACCGGGCCCGCAGCCTGCCTGGAAAATACCGCTACCGCCCCAGCACCTTGTCTTCCACGCTCACCCTGACACACTGTAGGTGGCGCCTTAGGACGCATTAGTCAGTGCTGCCGCAGACAACCCCTTCCTCCTGCATGGGTCCCTGCAGTCACTGCTGCATGCATGTAGAGCAGCTAGTGGCTAATGTACACCCTGCTCCAACAATAAATGTGTGTGTGTAACCGAAACTGACATCGTTAGGAGTATAGAAGTTCCAGTATAGCTAGCCTACACATACAGTGGGGTTCCAAGGCCACTAATTAAAATTATATTTTTTTTAATTTTTTTAATTACATATATTAAATATTTTTATTTACATCTTTTTTTGAGTGTGTGCATATATATGTATATGTATTACGTCATTACATAATTGTATTTATTTATTTAATTACATACCTTATTTATTTCTGAATATTAATTTTACTTTTTTCAGTTTATTTCCAGTTTTAAATTAGATTTCCAATTGGGTCTCAGACTATTAGAACTAATCCAATGTATTTTTTAATTACATATCTTAAATATTTCATATTATTTTATGTATGTTTCCCCCCTCTTTTCCAGGTTTAAAGTAGATTTTCAATGTGGTCTCAGACTTTTAAACCTAAGCCAGTTGTCATGAACACCCCAAATTTTACAAAGTGTTTAGAATTATAGTAAAAAAAATTAAAAGGCACAAATAAATGAAAAGAAACAAAATAGTCATTTCTATTATATCTCTGTTGTGCGGTAAAGCAGGCATCAGCCCATTGTCTGTCTGAAAAAGAGGAGACAGATGTCTAGCTCAATCGTTCTGATCAGAGACACAAAAAAAACAAGGGCTACAGCTGCCCATGGTATGGAACAGCAATCACACTTTGGTGGGCTGATCCTATTTTGATTGAGGTTGTAAAAGTGCCATAATGTAATTTGGAACAAGCAGAGACTTGCTGAAATGGCCGTGTTGCAGGTGGAGTTATTTCATTGTTAAGCCTTTTACTGAAGGGCACCACTGTAGCTCGTAAATCTCCGCCGCCTAATTTGGAAGAGCAAGGGCAGGAGAGAGCGGTCCGGGCCAGCCAGGCCACTCGCTCAACAACCATAACACGGAACAAAGGGCCACTGCACCGCCATCTTATCAGTAGTGATATTTTTAAAGTTGATTACTGTCTCACATTGCTCCTTCCACAGTGTAATTGCAAATGTCAAGAACTGGCATTTGGTAAAGACACAGACAGCATCTTTTGTTTAAATTTTTTTAAATATTTTGCTGTACTGATGAATTTCTAACAGAGCCACACTAAAGCAAGCTTGCAGTGTTATAGAGTTTGGGTTTCTGTCTCTGTAATACAAATCAGACCATGTTGTGTTCAGTATCTGGTATCATACTTAAATACAAAAAAAACAAAAAACAGATGAATAATATGCATAACATGGAAAAAAAATGCGTACTGTGGTGTACATGGAAATTATAATGTTTCAGGACAGACAGTGTTTAATAGTTTTTATCAACATATTGAACACTTTCTCCCCAACTTAAAGGAACAGTTCTCCAAAAAAAAAAAAAAGGAGAGATTTTGAAGAAATTCTTTTCTGATCCATACAGTGACACTTCAAAGTGACCAAAGCTGTTAAACCACCATAAATAAAATTGAAGTTGTTTAGTTTTTCTCTATCGCTCACAAATTTCATTTGTGCTCATGTTCAGTTCTGATATAGCACCTTTAGATGCGAAGGCCAGAATTTGATGCTGTCGTCATATGAAAAACAGAAGCGTGCGCATTTTTCCAAAATTTCTCTTGTTGTGTTCCTTAAACGAGTAAGTCATACAGGTTTGGAATGACATGAGAGTGACTAAATGATGACAAAATTTTTAGGGTAAACTAACCAAAGCTATAGTTTTTGAATATTTCACCTTACTATATCCATAGGATCTCAGATGCAGCTCAACCTTCAGGCCCTCAACACTCGCACATGATGTGTTTATAAAGCAGAGATCTTGTGACATTCACATGCCCCTCAGTAACGTCCTTCTGGAGAGGCGTTTCAGTAAGAGAAACAGGGTGCTTGTTCAGCGCTGAGAGTGCTTGTGGTACGGGGGACAGACTCACAGCAGCGGAGCCATCACTCACGGCTCTCTGAGTGATGAGGATTGATTTTGCCATGTAGTCATCCATTAAAAAACACACACCGAATTACTCATCTTTTTCTTTTTTCTTCCCCTCTGTCATTGTTCAAGCTCATGCCCTCCAAACAATGACAGAGAGGGAAAAGAGAGTTTGATATGGACTGAAATAAATCTACACACACATCGCTCAAACCAACTCTTTGAAAAGAAAATTCATGGGAAATAGGGTGTAGAGCTTAATGGTTGTCCTTCAGGTCTGTACTTGCCTTCTTTAAGTGTACTTTTGTCCATACTAACACTGTTCTCTTTCTATTTTTGGAGGTCTTCACAGATTTGAGTGTTTATTGCAATGATTGTTAGAGTGTTGGCTTTTGTGTTCTTTAATATGTCATCTCCAGCACACTTTACAATCCCAGCTGTCCACAGTCTGACACTCTTTGCATGTGTTTGCAGTCGAAGATGAGCATCCGTCAACACTGTCACCCAAAAAGAAGCAACGCAACGGAGGCATGCGGAATTCACCCAACTGCTCACCCAAAATGATGAGGTAAGACATTGATTTCAAGACGCTCCCTCCAGCCTTCAAAAGGAAAGACAGGACGGATGGTGCTGGGATGGTGGGAGTAGGAAAAGTGGAGAAGGAGAAAGAAAGTGTGGAGGGAGAGAGAGAGAGGGAGGGGAGAGCAGGCCTTTCGGGCCGAGGCGTTTGAGCTGTCAGCCTGTCAGCGGTTAATGATAGAGCTGAAATATTTCTGTCATGAAAGCAGCTATGAAAAGCTGTTTGAAAAATACTCTGGCTTTAAAGTCTCAGCTGTCATCTCCCCCCAGTCCCGTCCACATGTAGTTCTTAAACAGCGGTGGCACTAATGACTGTGCCAACCAATCAGAGACGCCAGCATGGTTACTTAGCCTCAGGGCTCTTCATCTATTGTGGGAACCCCTGTGAGGCGTGTTCTTCGTACTTAAGGCCATATGTGAAACGTATCATTGCAATCAAAAATGAATTCAAATATTACCTTCCTTTTATCCTGTCTGGTGGAATTAGAATGCTGCTAATTGATTTTGACTGATAAAAGGACTTGCTTTTCGCCCATGTGACCAGGAGACGTTTATGCAGAGGTTGTAAAAATAGCAGAGACAATGCCCTCCGTTTCACATCGTCAAGTGAGAAGGTGTTGCTGAAGGTTTAGAGGAAAGGACAACTTTCTGCAAAGTGATAGCCAACATGCTTGACTCTATGCATGTTTGTATTTCGATATTTTTTTTTTGTAATTTAGTGCAGAGTCAGTCACATTCTTTCAGTTAGTATATAATGCCATTTTATGATGCAGGCTTATTATTGCAGTTATAGTCATATTTAACTTTTTAATTAAAATCTTTTACATGACACATAGTAGTTTTATTTTTTTCTTCAATGTAAAATTTTATTACATTTTTTTACATATTGTAGTAATAGTTGTAAAATGTAACATTTAATTAAAATTTGTTACATAAAACAGCAATTTTTTTTTTCAATTTAATATACAATTTTTTTTTAAATATTGTATTATAAATTAAATAAAATAGGGGATTTTTTGTTTTATTTAACTTTTCATTTTTATATGTAAAGTAATATTGTTTTGTTTTATTTAAAAATATATTTATTTTATTTCATTTTTATTCTTTTCATTTGTGTGCCACCCACAAGGCATTTGTCAGCCCTGCAGAGGATCTCGCCCTTTAGTCTGCTTTCCAAGTGAAAATGATCAATGTTCAATTGTTTCTTTTCGCTCTCGGTTTTAAACAATAAACTGCGAGTGGAATGAAAAAAAAATAGCTTTCAGCGATTGCTTAGAAGGATCTTTGGTTTTTATTCCTTAACTTACAGCACAAAACTGTTTTTCTGAGCAGATTTGAAGGTCCCCGTTTGCCATGTAATGTATGCATCAACTCTTTGATCTACAAGTGATAATAATTCTTGGGAGTTATTTACCCTGTTTTGAAACGCTTCAAAGTGGTGTCAAAGTTTTCTGTGCTTTAGGGTGCCTGTGTGTTCAGCTGGCTCTTGGGTACTGGATGACAGGTCCTCTGTTCTAGGTGTAAGCTTTTTCAAGCCAAAGCCCTGCAGCGAAACATCAAAATTACCAAAGGCAGACCCTTCAACCTGTGCCCTCCTTGTCAATATATTACAACATACATTAAATACCTCGCCTTTACTAGGTGTGTTTTATGCACAATGAAAAGCGATTGTTTGAGGGAGCCTTAGGGATACTTTATTCAACAAGCAGGAAAGGGAAAAACAGCCAGCGTATACCATATCAAGTATGGTTTTTACAGACTTCTGCGCCTCCAGGCCGTCATAAATAAATAATGATCAACAGATTGGCTGTGGGTTTTTGAAAAGCATGCCTTTGTCAGTTTGCATGATAGGGAAAATTTTCAAAGCGAGGAGCTGCTTTCATAGGCTGCTGGTGAGGGATTCGGGGAGCCAGTGACTGCCGAGTGATGCGCTGGAATAGCTGAACGCTGTTTGAAAAGCAGCTCTCCCGGCTCTCAACTTCTGTTCTCTCTTGCTCTCTCTTTCCCCAAATGCATGTCTAGGATGCTCCTCTGGACATACCAATTAAATGGAGAACTTTCTGTCTCGCTTACGGTACCTGGTAGTTTCCTATAAAGTACTCCAAGCCTTTTGTTTTCAGATTAAATGTCTGTTTAAACTGAGTGTTTTTGGCTTGGTTCTTTGCAAAAATGAAATCAAGTGGAAGGTGCACCAACGTTCAAAACTTTGAAACAAGTCATGGAGTGGTGTGGACCGGTGGATTGTGCTTGTGACTGGCAGGCGACTCTGACAGCGGTTGAGAGATAGTTATCTTGGCAGAGGTGCACTACACCAGTCAGTATACTTAAGGGAGATTGAAATGACAGAGGTCCGCAGAAACACACGCCACATAATGAAAAATTCAGTCGGGGTGTAAAAGCACTAAATGCTTTCACTGTTATTAGCACCTGCACACAGCCTGATGTCATCTCATGCATGCATGCTAATTGACACATTTCTGAGGTGATATTTTAGCAATCAAACACAGTCGAAACAGTGCGTCAGAGAACTGTGTCACTGAATTAACCTGCTTAGGAAGGTTAGAGAGAAAAAGAGAAAAACAATAATTATGAGGTTTGTAATATGACCAGAATTTGCACTTTTTTACTACCACACATCCATTGTTGAATTTTGTATATGCAGTAGTTGAATTTGAAATTTGGCTTCAGATGTCAGTGCAGTTATTTTAGATGTAAATTAATTTTCCAGGATATTATCTGAAGTTATGCAAATATGGAAGCTGAAGCAGAGGTCCCATCATTCATTATTAGAGTGATTAACAAGGGGCTAATGCAATTTACAAACCTCATTTAGTGTTGTGATAATTACAGCATGTTACAGAACAAGGCATAACAGGCATGGTCAGTTAAATTACATCACATGCATAAGATAAAATAATACACCCTGATGTTAATGAATAAATAGCTATTCATTGCATTTATAAATCCTGTAATTTATTGAACGTCTTTTATACATAAGCTTCAGATCTTTGGAAGAAGTGTTATACAGTAAATCCACCCTCCATGAGCTGTTTCATATATTAATTATGTGTATGATTAATACATTATAAAACAAAATCATCTCCTGTCATTATCAGACAGGACTGGTTTAAAAAAAAAAAAAAACCTTTGTAAATGGCTGTTAATCTGTGGATAATATTATTAACAATAGCTGGGTCGAGCAGACTCTGAGAGAGCATGTTCCCCTGTAGCCACGTCTCAGAGATGGGGCTTTGTTGTCTGCCCCGAGGCCATTTCCTCAAAGCCAGCCTTTTTGGCCTGTCTCTGGCCCGGTAACATGCTGCACGGTGGGTTTTAGTTGACAGTTTTTTGCATTTACAAGAGTTCTGTGGTTTCTCTCAAAAACTGCCATCAGAAAAAGTGGAGTATTAATTCAAGTGTCACTGGGGGAGACAAATTATAACATAACTTTATTAAAATACAAACACATAGCACATAGAAATGACTCTGGTTCAACAGCCAAAAGAAAAAAAAGATAATAGTTTTTTGTTACTTTTATATCAGTATATGATATCAGTATATGAAATTCACTGTATGTTGTACCAGTAGTTGTACAGCACTTAAGTCATTTTTATTTTACTACAGTATATAATTATTATTTCTTAGCAAAAGAAAAACGTGCCCATTGAGACATCACCCTTTTTTGTGCTTGAATGTTAATTTTCACAGCTTTTACAGGCATCGTCGTTAGGAAATATGATGGCCAAACAATTAGACATTCAAAATCACTGCAATATTAATGAATTTATATTGTCAACTAAATCGTTGCAAATATATTGTGAATATTTAATATATATCACACATCCCTAGTTTTTTTATTTTTTTATAATTCACAATTGTTGGACAATTCTAAGGCAATAAATTTCATCTGCATAAAATTGGGCAACAAATGACTGACTTTTTGTAATAACACACACACACATATATATATATAAGCTCTGTTAAAGCTTTTACCGTTGGACGCATGACGTCAGGAGCGATACGGAGTAAAAGCCGGTAATTGGTGTTCCATTCTGGTGCCACTCAGTCACTGAAGTGCTCCGGCTCCATCTCTACCACTCCAGTGCTGTCACCGGTGCGGACGCTTTGATGACTCCGCATTCTTGGCAGCCCGGAGAGAGCTGCCGTTATGAAGGAGTCCAAGGCACAAATTCAATCTGACAATGACAAGCCATGTCAGCACAGGCCTGTTTACTGCTTATTTATTGTCAATAGACGTCTGGTGAGATGTGCCGTACATGTTTTCTTCTTACACATTTTCTCCTCCTTATGCTCTATTTCAGACATGACCCTCTGCTCATTCCGGGAAATGAGCAGATTGAGAACATGGATGCTAATGTGAAAAGATACGACTCTACTGGAATGTTTCACTGGTGTCCATCCAAAGAAATTGAGAAGGTCATTCTGGTAGGTACAGTACATTTTTAATTGCAGTGTTAATCCCACTTTTAATGTCTCTTAAAAGTGTTTTACTAAATTTTCAGGTTAAGTACTATCTTTGATCAGACAAGAACATCCAAGCACCACCTTGTCACAAGATTTTTTTCCCCCCAGAATTTATCAAATTAACTCTCTTTAAGTGCAATCTTAAGAACTGTAAGTGGCATAATGCCATATTTTTTATTAACATCCTATAATATTCATGCAGTATTGCACTATGATACATCACCCTAAATAAATCATAGCAACAACGCGGGGAAGTGTTGTTGGAAGTGAAGTTAATGTGCTGTTGGGACAGCATGTTGAAAAAAGAAGTGTAATAATGGGAGTAATAATTGGCCAGATTTTCATAATAATATCTAATATTTCATAAGAATATTGATATATAATTTATTTTCCTATTCATTTGTTGTGTCTTCCAAAATGCATAATAAACATGATTTTAGTCCTGGTGTTCTCTACAGTGGACATACATGAAATCAATATCCTGTTTCATAACAGGAAGTCATATTTTGGTTTGAAACCCCATAACGTTTTCCTGAGATGTTGATTTATGACAAACAATTTGAAAATGAATCAGATTTAAATGATAATTACAAAATATTATCATATTTCCATAAGGATGTACAATTTGATCACTAAATTAATGTCAGCCATTTTTAAAGACCAAGCAGAGGGAGTGACCATGGAGAAACTTCCAAACATTTGGTATCTCTGAAAAGCCCTGAATGTGCTCTCAGCTCTGGACAGGACATCCAGACTTAAAACTGTGACATGTGAGGTCTCAGAGAAATTCACTAAAATATAATGTTCTCTACAGAGACAAAAACTCTATAGCTGGGTACAGTAGTCAGCATTTGAAGTGGATCAAAACCTTTCATCAAAGTTGTCCTAAAACCTAAAACCAAAATTCGTTCTTGTCTTAGGACAACTTTGATGAATGTTTTTTATAATTTTTTTAATATAAAATATGAATAATTTTTAGTGTTGTACATTTTTCATGTATCACATTATGGGAATCACAATTTTACAGACATCACTGACTCCTCAGTGTACCCAAGTAAACTTTGAAATGTTTGAGAAGTGTAAAATGTATTTTGCTATTGTCTTTTGTGCACAGTGAACTTACATATCTATGCTTATTATTAGAATATGTATGCAATTTTGAGCAAGTGTATTGTATTTTTCCCCTATAATGAAAGTAATGAAAAACATCCCAAACATTTTTGTTCATGTTGTGTATTATTTGCCTTGTGCACAATGAACCAAAGTGTAAGAATATAATGATTATTATTTGATAATAATATGATAATTATTTTGTGGGTAAGTATATATTTGCTTTTACTAAATGAATTGAATTTCGAGTAAAAGTCCTAAACAGATGTTTTTTACTCATGATAATGTGCTTGAACATGCATAAATGCTGTTGCCATTTTCTACAATGATATTGTTTCCTCTCTTTAATTATTATTGTTGTTTAATGTGCTTTTTCCTCACAATTCCATATGGTGTTATTCAAACTTAATTGCTATTATGTGATTACATTTCAATCAATTAAATACAACATTTACAATTTATGAATTGAATTTCGAGTAAAAGTCCTAAACAGATGTTTTTACTCATGATAATGTGCTTGAACATGCATAAATGCTGTTGCCATTTTCTACAATGATATTGTTTCCTCTCTTTAATTATTATTGCAGTTTAATGCGCTTTTTCTCACAATTCCATATGGTGCTATTATACTTTATTGCTATTATGTGATTAAATTTCAATCAGTTAAATACAGCATGTACAATTTCTGTCCTTTTTCATTTTAAACAATATATACTCTACTCCTGCAGCTCAAGTTGTTTTTGTATGGATGGCAATAGATGAGCTCGTATTCCATTCTTGCTGATGAGATTGTAACTGTTGTGTTTGTTTCTGGCTTTTTCATCACAGACACGCAGCGAGGCCTCCATGACGGTTTTAAGTGGACATGTAGTAGTCTGTATATTTGGAGATGTCACGTCAGCTTTAGTGGGGCTTCGAAACTTGGTGATGCCTTTGAGAGCAAGCAACTTCCATTACCACGAGCTAAAGCCCATCGTATTTGTGGGCTCATTAGATTATCTGAGAAGAGAGTGGGAAACCCTTCACAACTTCCCCAAAGTCTCCATCTTACCTGTGAGTATACGCATTGAAAATGAGTTTTTACACTTGGAGAAAAAAAGATATCTGTAAATGTTATGTATTCACGTGACTCAAGGAGTAAGACATTACCAGCTTTTTGTATTGAAAAGTGCCACCACAATTTGATTTCAAGTGTTGATGTTCTGGCAGCAGGTTTCTCTTGGCCGTGTGAATCTCAGGCTTTGCTTCCTGCTTTAGTGCTTGTTAGCGTTGACTTGACTGTGTATGAAAAACGCAGCCAAAAAGGTGCCGTCAGCAAAGGCTAGCCTTTTAGATTAGACTACATCTTTTCTTCCCTCAGCACATAGTTAGATCAGCTGAATGTCACTGCCTTTAGAAAAGTAAATACTTGTTAACTAATTTCCCTGAGCTCCTGTGCCGTCTTTAATTTGTTTTTCCCTTTCTTCCTCTTTCCTCTCTCTCTCCGCTGAAGGGTACACCATTAAGTCGAGCTGATTTAAGGGCCGTCAACATCAACCTCTGTGACATGTGCGTTATCCTGTCAGCCAATCAGAACAATATCGACGATGCTTCACTGCAGGACAAGGAATGCATCTTGGCAACTCTTAACATCAAATCTATGCAGTTTGATGACAGCATTGGGGTCTTGCAGGCTAATTCCCAAGGTAAGGAGTGGCCAAGAATACTTCAGTGCATAGAGAATACTCCTCAAGAGCTTTAGACTGTGAAAACAGTCATCTACTGTGTGCTTTCAAAGACAACAAGGTCCAATTATCTGCTCAAATGATTAGATAAAACAAGGGAGGACATCAATTACTAAAGAATAAAAGCATGACTGGCATTTCATATGTTTGTGCATTAAGAAACACAATAAAACAGTCATTTAGACACTTTATGCAAACATTAAATAAGAAACAAAATTTCAGAATTTCTGTTTCATGCATATGTATGTTCATTATTAGAATATGCATGCAATTCTGAGCAAGTCTATTATATCTTTCCCCTGTAATCACAGCTCTGAAAAAAAGCCTCCCTAACGTTTTTGTGCAGATTGCGTATTTGCCTCCAATTGCTGGACCACGGCAGATTTGTTTGCCGACAAATTGACTCGAACAGATTGTTTATGCATTCAGATAAACATGTAATCCTCTTGTGCCCATCAGGATTCATCATCATTAAACAGACTGTACAAATCAGCAGCTTCACTTTCTCAGCTGCTCTTCATTACGTAAATTACATACACCACACAAGCTGGCCCACAACAATTAACATTTAAACCATTATTGAGTATCCACTTTTTGCATAGAAAGATGGATTTAAAACTTCAAAATGACAGCTTTCAGATGAAATGTGTCCCAATATTGTCCCAAAGGCTCATGCTGAGCAGTGTGTAGAGTTGAGGAAGAGCTCATCCCTCTGTGGAGAATGATAATAATAGCTTTTAATCATACTGTTGAAGAATAGGTCATTATCAGACCCTGAAGGAATCTGTTTGCAGTGTCTGTGCTGATTTTGGGGAATTCTGTGGGTTTAAACATTATAAAGTGTATCAAGTGGAGTTGAGAGTACTACACCCTTATTGGTTACTGAAAGCATAATCAATTTAGCTGAATTATTAAAAAAAATTGCAGGAGTGGCAGGGGATGTGTAGAAATTTGTGACTGATGGGCATTTCTAGTTCTGTGGAAATCTGTGCACAGATTCCATGTGGTCCAGGTCATTACTACGCTCTCAATTCATTTAACTCAACATCTGGCATGATCAACAGCCGAGCAATGGTGTGTAATAAAGATTTATTTCATTAACACTGAGCGTACTAGAACATATTTTATCTCACGAAGAACAGATTTCTTGTTCTCAGATTATTCCCAAGTAAACTTTTGCAGCAATAGAAATAACAAATGATTCACATTTTTCTTTCAGATTGTAGTTCCAACTGGGCATATAGTTATTTATTATGATTCTTATTAATGTTACATAATTAAACATCATAATTTAATTGTCTTTAAGGCAGAAGAATCTATATATAAATGTATTTAAAAACTGATCATATTGAAATCTCTATGAGATACAGGTGTAACAAATTACATCATATCACATCATCTTGATAAATATTCTTGCCCTTAGCACCTCAACGTTTCAGTGAGGCTTGTTAAACTTGTGCAGAAGGTGTTATTGAATAAATCAGCTAGCCTTTTGCCAGGAGAAAGTACTACACAGTTTTTTTTTTCAATAAAGTACACAAAGTCCAAGCTACATAATGCATTACCATTGAAAACTACAACACAAGGCAGAATTTAGAGCATGACTTTAAGGTTTGTGTGCATGTCTGTGTGGAGGGCGCATAACTTCATGGAGTGTGATCGATGTGCAACAATTAAAGTTTCACGAGACCAAGTGAAATGTGCTTAGGCTTTAGATAATAGTGTATATATATATTTTTTCTTTGTTAAATTGAATGTCAATGTTGACTAAAAGTCTGGGAATTTTAGTCTAGTTTTAGTCAATTGAAAGTCAATTTAGTCATGCTGCATAATGGTTCAAAATTATAATCACAATTATTTTTTATCAAAATTATGATTACTGATCAAGATTGTTGATTGTCCTGATTTATTATATTATCAGAAATATAAACACACTTTCTACATTATGAAAATTGGTAAATGTCAAAAGCTGAAACAGTGATATTCCTAATATTAATTCCAATAGTTTCAAATTATATTCATGACTTTTTTTTAAACAACAAAAAAGGTTTTGTATCGTGTAACCATTTATTCAGTAACCAGTAAAGTTTTTATTTTTTAAAATCTATTTTAGTCCTTTTTTTGTCAACAATATTGTATGTTGATAGTCACATATAATGTTTAATGATGTCTCTGACATTTTCATCTCCTATCCATAAAAATTTGATTTTGTTAATGAAATTAACACTAGTTTCAGTGGGTATCTAATATTCTGACCCAAAATTCTGCTTAATACTGGCACTGTAACCAGGTATTTGGTTCCAGAGATCAGAATATTGTCTTAATCTGGTTATGACAGAATATGAGCAAATTCTGATAAATATCAGAATATTCTTGCAAGTATATGCAGTCATTTAATTGTTTAGATGCTTTATAGTGCAAAATACCAATGTATTTATTTTAAAAAAGTACAATCAACAGTACTCTTGCTCTTGTTTATTGGTATCAAATTGCTCTTATTTATCAGCTGAAGCAAAATACTTTTCAGTATGCCACATGGTCGACACTGACTGTCACTGCATATCTGATGTCCTCACAATACACAAAACAGGAGATGGGATTATTATCTGCACATTTAAAACAAAGTCTTAAAACAGTCTCTTTGTTGTCTATTCTTCTGTTTAGAGCTACAGAGAGAGTTAGTCTATTGAACTTCCCCACTGAAAAGGACAACCCCTGTTCAGAATCCTGCAGCCCTTTGAAAACTTTGTGACCTGAATCTTTTCCCTGCATTATGTTTGTCACTGTAAAAACTATACGCTTGCATTTTTCTTCAGTCGATGGATGTCAAAACAGGGCCAATGCATTATGCATATAGCATTACTGATTTAAAGTGTTTACTTGTCAGCTTGAGGAAATGCAAAAGTGTCAAGTCATGTGAATTCATACTCTTGTCACTCCTGCTTGTATTTCATGGCATTTCACATAAAAGGTTTTCAGGATCCACTTCACCACTTTTATGGTAACAAAATGAACAGCATATAAAATTTATACCTGCTAGTTGATGGAAGGCAGCAAATGCTAAATATGCCTGAGCTGACCCTTAAAAGTGGAGGATTTATATTTCACTGTTTTAGACTAGCGTGTGGTATCCTGACACCACAAACTCTGCAATACGTTCTCTACATTTAGCATTATACAAAGAAAATCTTATTTGTATTGGCTGACTGTTATGCTACTGGTTTGGTCACCATTGCAATCCTTGAATCTGTTTTGGCACCATAAGCAGAGTAAAATGTGACAGTCGTTTTCCTCTTTCTCTTCCAGGTTTCACACCTCCGGGGATGGATAGGTCATCTCCAGATAACAGTCCAGTGCATGGCTTAGTGCGGCAGGCATCCATCACCACGGGATCAAACATCCCGATCATAACTGAACTTGGTGAGACGCGACTGGAGTCATACAGCTAACATGTCAAAGTCAAGTGTGATTAGAATCTAAACTTCCTTATGAAGTGTGTGTCTGTGATGTGTGTAATGGTGCACCTGAATATTTCACTGACTTGGTCCTCATCAGTTGTGCCTTTAATGCACTGGAAGAGACCTAGACTTATAGGGAGTGAAAAAAAGCATGTAGTAGCAAAATGGATCCATTTATAAATAACAATGAGGGTGGCACTATTCCCATGGTGGGGGGACTCATGAAAGTTTTAGATCTCAGAGGGCAATATAAAGCACCAGAGACCAGTCGCTCCAACTCTCCACTGACCCAATTACAGCGAGTTACACTAGAAAGGCTGCAAAAGAAAAATTGCCTCACAGACGCTTAAAACTTCATGCAAAACACACTCCTCACACGCACACATACACGTATGTACTACTGTCCTCTTAACATGAGATGCAAAAGTCCTTCTCCCTGAGGGGTTGCAAAGTCTTACATCTTGGACACATGGGGCCTGATTTACTAAAGGTTTCTGGCATTTTCATATTGGTAGAGGTGAAACAAATATTTGAAAAAGAAAAAAAAATAGAAAGAAAGAGCAACTCAAGAATAATCAGTATAATCTTATACGAAGGCTGTTCATATCATCTGTCATTAAAGACATTGACTAATACTTGACTTTAACTAATCTGAAAGCGTGAGTTTGACTTTGAGTTGAGAGGATATTTCAGCCTCTTGACAATGTCCTCCTTTAATTCAAAAAGAGAAAAGCTAGATATTCAAGCTAATAATAATAATAATAATCATGCTAATAATCCCAAGAATTGTAAATATGATAAAAGTGTAGATAACGTGAGTTGCTACTTGTTTATAGTGATCTGAATTGGTAATTTCTTAAATTTTCCCATTCTGTTTTCCTGTAAATAATCATTGCTGACAGGAAGCTCAATTTATTATTTTTTTGTTTGTTAGTTTTTATGAGTTAATAAAAAAATGGAGAATGCATTGTATATATAAATCATTTATAAAATTAAATGAAATTCAATTGTTGAGATGAACTACAGAAGTGTGGGGGCTTTTTTTTTTTTTAGAAACTGATACATTTATTCCGAATTTATCAGAAGTGACAGTACAATCTTTTATGTTAATACAAAATATTTCTAGTTAAATTAAATGCTATTATTTTTGAATTTTCGATACTGAAAAAAGTATCATGTTTTCCACAAAAGTATTAAGCAGCACAACTGTTTTCAATATTGATAAAAAATAAAAAAAAATAAGAAATGTTTCTTGAGTACCAAATCAGTATATTAAAATGTTTTCTCAAGTATCATGTGTAATGTAAGTATCATGTGAAAATTCATCTTTGCATCACAGGAATACTAAAATAGAAAACAGTTGTTTTGATGAATTCAGCCTTGGTGAACATAAGAGACTGCATTCAAAAACATTAAAAACTCTTACTAACCCAAAACATTTTAACTGTAGTGCAGTGCTTCTCAACTAGTTTGGCCATGGGACCCACATTTTCCCATGGTCATCAAGCCGCGACCCACTTTATGATATATACTCGTAGTTTCTTTTGCACTTTAGTGAAATTATATACTGCATGCGCCGCCGCATTTGCGCGTGCGATTGAAGAGTGCGTGCTACAAACACAGTATAACGTCTGACAGGACAGGATAGTTCATTTTTCTGAGGTGGGAGACTTTTTATTTCATAAGAAGTTAAAAAAAAATAATGATAGAATAATGAGAATGACATTAAGCCTGACAACATCTCATCTGACCGCAGATACTGAATCGGGACAGCACGTTTTTCTCAGGCAGTCTTTACTTAAACGGGGTCCTATTATGCTTTTTCACTTTTTCAACTTTAGTTAGTCTGTAATGTTGCTGTTTGAGCATAACTGATTTCATTTGCTTGGTAACAGCCCAAATGCAAGAATTTGACTCAAAAGATGGTGCACACTTTTAGAAAAAATGGCTTAAAGGTAAAAATGTGCATAAAACTTGTTGGAAATTATTCATTTCTATCACTGCTGTGAACTGACCACACAGAATATGAAGAATGTAAAAAAAAATTCAGGAGTCAGCTGTCCACGGCAGTCCCTAAGATGTCAGCAAAATAACACACTCAGCAGAATATCGTCTAATTACCGTTATCGATAAAATCCCAGAAAATTACTGAGATATCATTTTTTTGTTAATATCGCACACCACTTATTTATGTTATTTAATTGATATAATAATTTATTGATAATAATTGTTTAAATTAATATAACAATTAATACTTTTGACTCATCTATTTTCTTAAAAGTGGTTTCAAGGCTGAAATGGAAAGTTTATCATTTTATAAAACTTTTTGTTTTTGTGAAAACTTGTATCTGAACTGAAATTATGCTTTTTACAGTTTAATATGGTACTATAAACATTGCCCTACCCCGCTCATATGGTATTAATTTTATTTGTGCAGTTCTTAAAAAAGGTCTTAAAAAGTCTTACATTTGAGCTTAAAAATCCTGCAGAAACCCTGTCTTTGCACAGATTGAAAAATGTTTAGCCTAAAGGTAACGTAAAATTCAATTAAATGTTATTCACCGCTACTTTTTGAAACAACTTTATCAGCAGATTCTCTACACAAGCAAATCATTGACCGTAAATGGAGCGCTTGGTAAATCAGGCCTGCAGTATTAGTGTTGGAATATGTGCGATTACACAAGAAACATGTGGAAAAACTTGTTGAAAGCGATTTGTTTTCTCTTCTAAATGTTTCATAGTAATCTTTCCCTTATTTGCAGTGCAGTAGATATGTAAGCCTGTACGACATCCCCGTTATCGTGAACAAACACGGCCGAACTGTTCCATGGAGTTCTTACAGAAGCGCTTCATCCTGACACTGTACCTTTAGATTTCTAATCCCACTCTTGACATGATACTCTCGTTTATGCTTTCTCTTTCTCTGGCTTTGAACTTGTTTCAATAACTGTCTCCCCTCAACACTGTTTTATCATCATTAGCTAAGCCTGGCAAACTACTGCCTTTGGTTTCATTCAGTCAGGAAAAAAACAGTGGAACCAACATACAAATGATAACAGAACTGGGTAAGCTGCGCCTTTGTCCTCCGCTACTCTGATGCACTGCCTCCTTCATCGGCTTGCCTTGATTTTTCTCGCTGCAGCTGAGGCCTGCTCCCATGGCATCACTTTGAACACATTTTTATCCTTAGTTCTGGTTGAAATTGACTTGTTTTTTGGCCTTTTTTAAAGATTTTTTTTCTTTCTTTCTCAGAGCATCACTAGGCCTTTGATCATGCGAGTCTGTCCTTGTGGCTGTATCCATAGCATCTCCCTGCTGTTCAATATTTTGGCCCGGGCTCCTTTTCATCAGCGGCCTGTCTGAAAGACTGACATTTCTCTTCCTTAGCTCACAGAAAGTCTGGGAAGAAATCAAATTAGAAAAAAACAAACAAAACAAATCAAACCTTGCTTTAAGCTGTTTATTTTTATTTATTTATTTTGGTGCTGGCCCTAATCTCTGAAGCATAGATTTTGAAAGGGGGTGAAACAAAGATTGTGTGAGGCTGTTCAAACCGAGCAGGATTTCAGGGCATTGTCTCTATACATTGGCGGCTAATTGCAGAAGCATAGATTTTGAAAGGGGGTGAAACAAAGATTGTGTGAGGCTGTGTTCAAACCGTGCTGGATTTCAGGGCATTGTCTCTATACGTTGGCCGCTGAGACCATACCCAATAGCCTCAAAGCAATCTGACTGCTGCTGCTGTCCAACCAAAGATACCAATGTTTAAAAACGGGTTTGTGTTTTGTTTTGTTTTTCTTAATATTATTTATAAGTGGACCTAAATTTTTACAATAGTGCTCTATAACTTGACTTTTTTCCTACAATAACATTTTGATAATTGTAAATCACTTCAAGTAATAGTATCCAAAAATAAAAATGGTCATCCTTTATAGATCTTTGTGTTGTTCCAGATACGTAGAACTCTCTTTTTTTGATGCAACACAAAAAGAGAAATGTCAAAGAATTATACTAGTCACTCTTCTCCATGCAATTACGATGGATGGGGATTGAGGCTTTCAAGTAAAAAAAATTTAAAAAAGCATCCAAAAGCTTAATAAAAGTAGGTCATAATACGTGTATCCTATATTACACATCTTTTGATGTCATACAATAGCTGTATGAGAAACAAAGTGTAATTTAAGTCTTTATTTACTGATGATCTTCCCCTCTAATGATTCGTTAACCGCTGTGACTGAATTATTGAGTCAGTGAAAAGGATCAGTCCAATTTTTGACCAAACTATTCAGATCAGTTTTGTGAAGTGATGATTCATTAAAAGGATCTGACTCAAAAGAACGATCCAGACATCGCAACTTCTCTCAGAAACAGAATTTTCATTTTTAACTATCCCTTCTAAGTTATTCAGATTCACAATTTTTGAGTACTACATTGTGCAGATATCAATATTTCAATCTATATTAATCTCCAGAACGCATGCCCACTGATGTGCATGCAGTTTTTTTTGCTCATTGTTCATTTGACATCATTAACCCGTTTATTGCTGGTTGGTGAGACACTCTTCACCCTTTGAAAGACATTAGTTGACTCTTCACAGTTCTTCTGCACAGTTGTAAAACGTCTCTCTCTGTACTGCAGTGAATGACTCCAACGTTCAGTTTTTGGACCAAGACGATGATGACGACCCAGATACGGAGCTGTATCTGACCCAGCCGTTTGCCTGCGGTACCGCGTTTGCCATCAGCGTGTTGGACTCCCTGATGAGTGCGGTGAGTTAGTGGCTAAACAGCTGCCACGTTGACACCTATTTACTGATTTGAATTCCTTTTAACAGATTAGCATGCATAAATCCATTAAAGAAATTATCCCTGCAGAATAAGTCGATTCAGATCCTTTCATTGTGTGAAGGATCCTTCATATTATCTACTAGGCTTCAGATGATCTTTTCGTACGTATTCAAAAGCAGCCAGTGATTTGGTGAACAAAGCAACCTGTCAAAAGGTGCACAGTCATTTCTCTCCCATCATGGCATGTCATATAGAATTACATGAAGGCATGTCTCACTGCTAATCCTCTGAAATAATGTATAGGAAAGAGACATCCTCCGGCTGTGCAGTGCTTTAGATGTAGGGCTCAGGCGTTACCAGTAGGCAGAGGTTGGTAAATGAAATGCCACATTGATCAGACAGCACTGTCAGCAGCGGTGACATCAAAAGGAAAGTTGTTGCCAAGACTCCTGATATAATGTGTCATAAAATGAACTTTCAAGAGTCTTATTAGATCTTTTAACAAGGTAAGTGCTCAAGTTTTCTTTAATGGGATGCCTTGACACGCAAAGGTGGGCGTCCATGGGGTCCAAGAGCTCTAATCTCCTAACAATGTCATCTTGGGTAGATTAGGAAAGATACCTTTTTTCCCTTTTTCCCCGTTCTCTCTTCTTCTTTTCTTCCCCCTCACCACATACGACCGCTGCTATCCCCTTATCCATATGATGGCTTAATTCCAGTACCTTTCACTTTGAGTGAAGCTAGAACAAAGCAGCCTTCAAGTGCATTTCACTGTGGACAAAGGTGAAGCCTGCTAATAGACAGCTCTCATCCATCATTCGGCTGAATGCTGCTGTCAGGGGCCTGGAGAGGTGTCACTCTAGTGCAAGCTTGCCGCGACACAGCCCCCTGGTGCTCACACAAACGACCTTGTGGTCTTAGTGGAATCTTTTATTTTTATACGGTAATCATTTGACAACTTTATCATCAGTGATACCGAAGAACATTTGATGGACAAGATACAGCGTGGTCTACAAGTCGGAAACCACTTTAAAAGTCAAGGATACAGAATCAGATTTAAACTTGGAATTAAAATAAAGTTTTAGGATTTAAAATACACTACTGTTAGAAAGTTTGGGTTCGGAAAGATTTTTTTAAAGAAATTAATACTTTTATTCAGCGTAGACACATTAAATTGATCAAAAGTGACAGTAAAGAAAAAAAATAAGCAGCACAAATGTTTTCAACATTGATAATAATAAATGTTTCTTGAGCAGCAAATCAGCATATTAGAATGATTGCTGAAAGATCACATGACACTGAATGTAATAAAAGTAATGATGCTGAAAATTCCACTTTGTCATCACAGGAATACAGGTGCATCTCAATAAATTAGAGTGTAGTGGAAAAGTTCATTTATTTCAGTAATTCAACTCAAATTGTGAAACTCGTGTATTAAATAAATTCAATGCACACAGACTGAAGTAGTTTAAGTCTTTGAAAGACTTAAACTACTTCAGTCTGTGTGCATTGAATTTATTTAATACACGAGTTTCACAATTTGAGTTGAATTACTGAAATAAATGAACTTTTCCACGACATTCTAATTTATTGAGATGCACCTGTAAATTACATTTAAAAATATATTAAAATAGAAAACTATTATACATTAAAAAATCTTACTGACCTCAGACATTAAATGGTAGTGTATAAAAGTTATGAGGTGAAGTGAATAAGAAAAATAAAAGAGTCTTGAAAGAATCTATCTCAGTTTCCGCAAGAATATTAAACGGCTCAACTGTTTTCAACAATAATAAGACAGTAATAATAAGAAACATTGCTTGAGCACATCACTGCCTTAAATCTTTCATGGTATTTCTATATCCAGTGCTGGGTAGATTACTTGCAAATTATGGTCCGTTACTGATTACAAATTACATGAAGTAAATTATAGTTAGTAAAATAATCTGGATTACACATATATGTAGGTCACTATTTAAAATGTGACATCGACCATGTTAACAAATGCAGGATTACACAGATCATCATGTTTTACTTACACATATAAACATATTATCATTAAAGCAAACATATTCAACTATTCACCTAAACTGTTAAAAAATGCAAAAAAGAAGAACTTTCACTAGTGGTCTCAGACTTTTAGACCCCACTGTACAAGACAATTGTTCCCAACTTGTTGTGTTATGAGATCTATTCTTCATTGTATGTAATCTGCAATTAGCTACAATAATGATAATTAAAATGTCCTCGTGTGCAAAACGCTCCCCTGTTAAGCGTGGCTGGTGTTACCAAAATGAATGTGTGTGGGGAGGAGAAGACGACGACAACAACAACAACAACAACAGCTGGCGTAATTGCATTCCCGTGTCTCTTCCCTTCCCAGGGAGTGAAATGAGAAGAGACAGATCAGGGTCTAGATAACAGTGCTCGGGACAGCTCCAAAATCCTGACTGTCTTGAGTTGTGACTCTAATGCTGCTCACATCCGGATCCTCTCTTTTATCTTGGCAGACATACTTCAATGATAATATCCTCACCCTGATCCGGACGCTGGTCACAGGAGGCGCCACTCCGGAGCTGGAGGCCCTGCTGGCTGAGGAGAACGCGCTGAGAGGTGGCTACAGCACGCCGCAGACGCTGGCTAACAGGGACAGGTGTCGGGTCGCCCAGCTGGCCCTCTACGATGGGCCCTTCGCAGACTTGGGGGTAAGTGGGCGGTTAAGAGGAGCTGACACGTTTTGGCATTTTCCCCAACAGGGCTCATTCCCTGTCCGAGGTCTCCCCTGCCCACTAATGCAAAGTGAACTAGCTGAACATGCAAAGTCTGTGGGTAAAAAAATAATGCTGCCTTAAATCTTTCATGGTATTTCTACTGTATATCCAGTGCTGGGTAGATTACTTAAAAATTATGGTCTGTTACTGATTACAAATTACATGAAGTAAATTGTGGTTTGTAACATAATCTGGATTACACATATTAGGTAATGTAGTCCGACTACTTTTTGATTACTTTTAGATTATTTTTGACCTAATACATTTATCACAAAGACCTGAATGTGATTATAGTGTACCATACTGATTTAAAAATATATATATAATTTCCCAAACTGTGGTTTGTGAAAAAAAAAAAAAAACAGTTGGGTGTTCATAAAAAAAACTAAAAATTAATGAAATCATAAAATGTCAAAAGCTTGGAAATCCCTACATTACATAAACAAACATTAATAAACATGAAAACATGACATTACATGGCCAAAGTCTTCTGGGTTTAAAATAATTTTGTCCAGACTTCCAATATTAATGATAAGTGAATGTCACTGCATATGATGAAGTCAAAGTATTTCACAGCTATGTGTCAGCAGTGTTTAGTAACTTGCATAAATATTGGTCTGTATATAAGAGGTAGGTTCATTTAGAAAGGAACATTTAAAAGAAAAAATTAACTGGGGTGAAAAAATAAATTATGAATAATTTACTGTCATTGTGTGAATACAATGTAATCCATAAAAAAGTACCTGTAATCTGATTATGAGCAATTTAAAATGTAATATATTCTAATTAAAAGTACTTAATCTTTGGGTTCTGATTACGTAATCCAGATGACATGTACTCAGTTACAGTGTTGGTAGTAACGCATTACAAAAGTAATAATATTACAATAGTATATTACTTTAGACGGGCTCGTCCTTTTCTCGGCCCTCACCTGCTAGATCCGCGGCTCTCTCTCGGGGTTCGGAAGCCCCCTGCTCAGGGGTGGGGCTGCTGAGCGGGAGCAGCCCAAGCCGTCAAGCTCCTCATATCGCCAGTCTCAAAAACAGAGCGTTGCAATGATTTTATAATTTTATGCCATATAGACCCATCACATTACCCTCCACTGGATGTAGAATGAGCAGCAATAAACTACATATTGGCATTTTGTAATACTTATGTGGATATTTTGGTGAAAGAAACTCAAAAGTAACTCAAAAGTAGTGTAACGCATTACAATTCAGAGACAGTAATATTGTAATGTAACTAATTACTTTCAAAAGACAGTAACTAGTAACATATAATGTATTACATTTTGGAAGTAACTTGCCCAACACTGCTCAGTTACTACCCAGCACTGCCTGTATCGAAGTAAAAATGCCACATATTTCATTATAGTAGTGTAGACATGAATGAGGCAAACAACACCTGCTCTTACACTCAAGTTGGCTCTGTCATGCCTGAAATAAGCATATGATGATTTGAATGTTATGAATGAACGATTAAAGCACTATTGTGTGTTCTTTTTCAGGATGGTGGTTGCTACGGAGACTTATTTTGTAAAGCATTAAAAACATACAACATGCTGTGCTTTGGAATCTATAGATTGCGAGATGCACATTTAAGTACACCAGGCCAGTGCACAAAAAGGTGAGCTGTCCATTTGACCTATTAACATCTTTATCGGGAGGGTTTTAGCCCTTTATTTCACTCGGCCTATAATCCAACTTCACTACTGGGAAATAACAATTAAGCCCACATTATTGTAAACTACGGCTGCAACAACTAATCGATAAAATCGATTATTATCAATTATGAAAATCATCGACAACGATTCCCATTATCGATAAGCCGGGTCTGCCCACAGTGCACGTCCAACTTCAGCCGGTCGCGTCAAATATTCGTCTTTATCATCTTTATTATTATTTACATTTTTTATGCAGAGATTTAAACTATATTCACTATATACAATGCTTAACACATTTATTAAAACAAATTTATGTAAGGTTTTTAACAAATTATGGTTTGTGCCACTGCTGCTCAGTACTGGTGATTACCAAAATCATTTTTTAGCTTTCTGTATGGGTTAGTCCTCCAATATGCATAAGCTCTTTAGTAACAGTAGTAGGCTGTTTCTAATGCTATAATATAATTATTGCTGTTATCTATGAAAGAAAGACAGAGAGCTTTATAGTGTTTTTTTTCAGATACCCAATTAGTCAAAAAGTACGTAAACAATGCCAGCAAGAACGCAAGCTATGAAGGGCATAGGAGGCCATTTTTGTTATGTGAATAAATAAAAGTATTTAGTTATAAATAAATGACAATAAAAACATTTTGATTTAAAACATTTTTGACAGATTCCTAAAATGTGTTTTCTCTTTATTATGGCAGGTGGTCTAATAAATTGTTAAGCACTGTATGTTTTCATAGCATTCAGTTGGAACGTTTGTTTTAAGGACATTGGGCAGAATGTGGAATAGTGTGTTTTTGTCAATAAAAGAAAAAAAAGAAAATTGTTTGTTTTTAACCCGATTAATCGAAAAAATAATCGACCAACTATTCGATTATCAAAATAATCGTTAGTTGCAGCCCTATTGTAAACCCAGTTCCAACATCTAGCAAGGTGTGAGGTCCCTACCTAGGCAACATACTGTAGGAGCGCAACTGATAAAAGTTTTCACAAATTTATGCTTGCTTGTAAGATAAATTCATATTCAAAAGGACAATTTAAAAAGGAAGTCAGTATGTTTTTTTTTTCAAAGAAATGAATACTTTTATTGAAATTTAACAAAAATTATAGTAAAGACATTTATCATGTTACAAGAGATTTTGATTTCAAATAAATGCTGTTTTCATCAACTTTCTTCATCAAAGAATCCTGAAAAAAGGAGCATCAAAGCAATTTTTGAGCATCAAATCAGCATATTAGAAGGATCATGTGACACTGAAGACTGGAGTAATGATGCTGAAAATTCAGCTTTTCATCACAGGAATTAATTGTTTTAGAATATAGTAAAATAGTTTTTTTTTAATCCTAATTATATTTCACAATATTACTGTTTCACTGTGATTTTGATCAAATAAATGCAGCCTTTATGAAGAGATTTCTTTCAAAAGCATTTAAAAAAGTGTACTGTAGTGTGCCTCATTTTATCCACAATCTAAGGCACTGTGACGTGTCCTTCATGGATAAAGCTACCCCATAGTGCAGTTTGCAAGTTCCGTGAATATTTTTTAGCCATTTTAAACATTTTTAAGTATGATTTTAATCAGTAGTGAAACCAGTACTGATCTTTTTTCAATGTTATTATGTGCACTATGTATTACTATTATTAGAATCCAGCTGTTAGCTTAGCCACATGCTAATATTTGAATATTGGAATCAACTGTAAGAGTCCCTTGTGTGCTTCATGAGAGGATCAGATTATGTGGCACATTTGAATGATAATTAACAGTTACAAGTTACAGACGATGAGGAAACTTTAGATTAGTCATGATGGTAATATATATGTAGATGGAAAACTAGAAGTGGTGCAGAAATTATACACTTTACCTATAAACCTGTTTAATATTGTTCTGCTAAGTGCAAAATAGCATCTTAACATTAAACAAGGTAAATAAATGCTATATCTCTTACATGAGATCCTTGAACGTGTGCAGGTATGTCATCACAAACCCACCTTATGAGTTTGAACTGGTGCCCACGGACCTGATCTTCTGTCTGATGCAGTTTGACCACAATGCGGGCCAGTCCCGAGCGAGCCTGTCCCACTCCTCCCATTCCTCTCATTCATCCAGCAAGAAGAGCTCGTCTGTTCACTCCATCCCCGCCACGAACCGGCAGAACCGCAGCAGCAAAGCACGTGAAGCCCGTGACAAACAGAAGTAAGTTGGCCTTTAATTCTCTCTTTACCCCAGCAGAGTGAGTGTATGTGTGTGTTTGTTCACTTCTGTGGGTTTAGCACGCCTTGTACAGAAAGGATGCGGTGTGTGTGTTTGTACTCCGCGTTCCATGTTCTGTTTGTGAGTTTGCTTCATTGTTATGTGCATGTGGCCCTTGCCTTGACCACACATAGAACTTTGACCATTTGATCATTGCTTATCATTTTCTCTCCGTAACCAGGAACATGTCTGCATATCGCTGTTGCATTTCTACAAACACAATCAACCTGTGAGCTTTTGAAAATAAACTAGAGGTCTGCATTTCAAAAAGTCTGCACCAGTTTAGATTTGTTACAGCACAGGATTAAATTTGGAATTTTAAATGTATGAATTAATAATAACACTATGACATTTGCAGGTCCCATGCAGACCTCTAGAACTGTTTATTTAATGTTTATTATTAAGCTTAATAATGTTCTGGAAATAGAGGCAGAATTTTCCATCAGCATTTGTGTATAGGTAATAAATCATTTTGGTCGTTATTCCACATATAAGAGTAAGGAAACGGCATTAATTAATTTCTTGCCTTCCTGTTTGTCCAATCATTATGTCGGTGTGTGTGAGAACTGCAAATTGCATCATCATGTTTTTAGTCTGTGTTAGTGGCTTATTTTTAGTTATGCTCTAGTGATTTTTTTTTTTATGTTCCAGGTAGGGTTTAGAGACATTATCATAGCATAAATGGTTTCACACCATCCACATGCCTTGCAGGTGCAGAAACTCCTATGGTGTGTATTTTTGTAGAAGCTTTGGATAATTTAAGTGTGGATCTTTTCAAATTTCCAGCTTTGAAACCTTTATCATCTAAATATACAGTCTTCATGAAGCTGCTGTTGTTGAGACTTATCTCTCACCAGAATGAAGGTGCTGCAAGGTATTGTGGGATGTTGTAAAACCCTGCATTGATTTCAGTGCCTGTTACAATACGTGCCTAAAAGTTGTAATTCAAAAAGTTAGAGTTTGTAATAGAGCCCGACCGATATGGGTTTTTTGAGGGCCAATACCGATATTAGGGAGTTTTAAAAAAAAAAAAAGGCCGATATCGATATACCGGCCGATATTCTTTATGTGTGGGCTATATTATAGTACTATATATAGAATGCAGTATATACATAAACAGAATATATATACACATAAACACAGTTTTTGCAATGATTAGGGATGTAACGATTCACTCATGATTCAAATCACGATTTTGATTTCACGATTCGATTTTCTCAATTTTTTTAAAACAAAATGAGATTGAAGACATTATACCGTAAATGAAAAGGTGTCGTATCATTAGGCTATTGCTGCACGTTTCTTTGTGAAATTGAAATATAACAAAACTAAATTGAAATTTTTAAACAAACCCCAAATCAAACAAGTTACACAAATAAAATAAATCTCTTAATATGAACAAACTAAGGCTTTGTCTGTGCTCTTTCCATTTAAAATTAGAGGCAACCATTGGATTTTAATCATGATCCAAACAAAGATGCGGCATACATGTAGCATGAGTAGTTTTTTTTATCTAAATTAGACTGTATAATTTCGAAATTTGAAGCAAAACAGAATGGTCTGACTTTAGTTTTGTGAAACTATATTACATAAAACATCTGCACGAAACAAATACAGCAGACGGGCTTAATGAGACGCAGATTCACTCTCTGACAGCAGGTGGTGCTTATGAACAACAATAATACAGTGTTTCCTGGGTTACCGCTGTAAACAAAGCAGCGCTGCGCTGCGCTTATGAACGCTGCTTTAATATGCATTATACAGAGGCAAGATACCAAGAAAATACCATGTAAACTTTTCTAAAGATAGTCAGTTCTCCTCAGAGAAACTCCTACTCCAATTGTATCGCGATTTGTTTGGCATATCAACCGATTTGAATCGTCACATATTTTAATCGATTTTCAACCGACTCACAGTTAATCGTTACATCCCTAGTAATGATCACTCAAATGTGGTGATGAAACACTTATAATGACGTGACAGAGATACGTAATGGAGGCAGGGTATTTAACAATTTAACAGTACACTTTATTATCCAATAGGAGTCTGACATCAGTGCACTGAACAGTAAAGTTAGTTTATTCAACTTTATTTCCATTCAACTTTATTCCGTTGAAGTTTATTTCACTTCGGAACATTAATTCATGGATTTGCACTACGCCTCTGTCTTCACACACAGACGAAACTTACTAGGGTAGTGTGAAGTGTGACATAATATACCTCTGTAAATAAATACTATTTAAATTCACGTCTTGCGCACTTTAATGCCCTTTGAATATAAACATGTACGCTCCCTTCGAACTGTAATCATGGCAGAATATCCTGTGATGTCCACTTCGCAGGGCATTTACGGTCGAATAGAACAAACCTCTGAAGTGATAAGAGAAACATACAAAATGTGCAGAGCGGGGGGTCGCGAGGGCCAGGATTAAGAACCACTGCTTAATAGCATTATGTCTCACCAACCTAGCGCTAACTCACCTTTCAACAGACTCAAGCCACAAATTAGGTAGCAACTTACCATTAAGACACCGCTTGAATGCTGCTGCCTGAACAAGAGACCTCCTTACTGAAGTGAAAGAGTTGGCTGGTGTCACTATCTCGCGAACGCGGCGGAGGATCCGCACCAAATTTGGAGGATCCCTTCAGCTCAAGGAGCCCTCCTGAACGCCGCCCACCGGGATCGCCAGATCGGTCGGCCCCGACCGGACTCCGGGGGCTATCGACGCGGGGGTGGTCTCATTCGAAAGGGGGCCTACGTACACTTGATTTAGCATTCGAGAGGGCTCCTCGAACTGAAGGGATCCCCCGAATTTGGTGCGGATCCGCCGCACCGTTACGGAGATATGGCCATTCAAATTTTCAATGGTATTCCATACACTTAAGCTTTTAAAGCATTTCATCCAGATCGCCAGTAGCAAAAAATGGAGTGCACTCTGCTGGACAAACTATGTAATTACACAATTTACAAGCATTTTATCTGCGTTTTATGTTCTGTAAAAAAAATTGTCATATTGGTGGCATATATACGCCGATATCAATATATCTGCGACAGGCTCATAACGGCCGATAAAATAGGCAAAACGATATATCGGTCGGGCTCTAGTTTGTAAGATGTTCCCCCTTAGAGAGTAGGTTACATTAGTTAATAAGTGATCTATTTTTCCAGATTTGAGAAGCACATTGTCTTTTTCAAGAGTTTTACAATACAAATTTATTTTTAATTGGATAAAATTCAATTGTCAGATCCATCATAATCTTTAATATTAAATGAGCTAAATAGTTTGTAGTCTTAAATCCTGAATTAGCATTAGTAACATTTTATTTAGATTTTTATAAGAATCATTTCTCATTAGTGTAAAATAAAGATGGTTATGATTTTTAATTCACAATATATTAACCAGACTAAAAATGTAGCGATATGATGTCAGTTATTCTGTTTGAGACCTGTTACTTGCCTTAAACACTGTAAAACTTACATAGACCACTTTTTTTTCTAAAGTGCAACAAGGATGAATAGAATGGGCCCAGGTATGCAAGTTAATGATTCTGCATGATACAGCACCTGTTGTGGGATCTTTTAATCATAACTTTGTCCTTTGTGGAGCACTGTTATGAGAGGGGATTTTGATTTTACTTTCCAACGAAATCATGCCTACTTTTCACCTTTGCTTTCTAAACGAAAGCAAATGGCTGCTGCTACTGCCTAACTCTTGTCATGCTCAGGACCATCCCAGCATTGCATGCGGTTGACTATCATCCTCTCTCTACCTCCGTCCATCTGATAGGGTCCAGTGATCTCTCTCAGTAGTCCCCCTCGACTTGTTTGAGTTCCTCTTGTTCATTTACCTCTCATTCGGTTTTTCTTTCTTTCTTTCTCTAAGACAAACTGCATTGTGTGAGAGGTCAGTGTGTCTGCACATTGTTCCTACATGTAGGTTATCAAAATGTATTTGTTTCGCTTAATTCAATTCTAATAAGGCATTTGGAAAATAATACAATCTGATTCAGGGAGGTGTTTTCAAAGCCATTCAATCCAATTCTATAATGTTATATTATTCTAGAATATAATTAATAAAAATCTGAAATTTAAAAAAATACATATTTAAAATAATTTAATTGACCATGTTCATTATTTATTATTACATTTGACATTTAAATAAAAACAATTGCAATGCAGAAACATTTATTTTATACAATATTTGTTCAAATTTTAAGAAAACTGCGTTTCAGTGCTTATTTTTTATTTGTGAAATATTTTGTTTAAAATTGTATTTACTATAGAATTCAAATGGGGAACTACCACTTATGTCAGTCTCCAGCCTGGCCAGTATCGCTAATTATTAATGATGCATTGGTGGCTTTTGTCATATTTGCCACTTTGTGTTGTGCTTAAAAACATCTTTTAATTAAAGAAAGATTACGACCTCTCATGGCTTACGGCTGCATTAATCCAAAAAATGTAGATTCGATCCGTTAAAAGTGCCCCACTCAAACCAGGCAAAAGTGGTTTCACGTTCCGCACTCAGCTGAAATTCACCTCAAATATCTGTGTGAGAGAGGGGAGCCATGATGAGAGTCCCTGTGCTGCTGGAATTGGCTCTTTTAACCCTTGCAGAGCCAGAGGATGTCTCGGGGCAATGTAAGTGCCAGCATCAGTAGTAAACTCAGGGGAACGGAGCGAGGTGGCTGACTCCTTGCACCACCTCAGGCACAGCTCCACTTACATCAAACGACTGCGCCGTGACACTCTCCCCCCGCGGCTCGTCGCAGCCTGACACTCCAAGGTGTGCAGCACATTTCAAGTTGGAGGAATAGTTGGAAATGTTGGAGTTCTGGAAAATGACACCGCCTAGGAGAAAGTGAATGTGATGAGGACGGATGCCAGCCCTACGCATAGCTTAAGTCCTCATAGGATACTTTTCCGAATAAAACACCTGATTTCAGAAACCCGATCGTGTGATAACGTGCTCAAATACACCGCATGATACAATCATTTCTATTTGGCTATAGTACGCCCTTGTTTGAAGGCTGTAAATGCTTTTAGATACCGTGCTGCCTCATGAAATCAGTAATAGGTCCAACAATGTGTGTTTCACCCTGTGTCCTGAATGTACTGTATAGAGAGAGAAAGAGAGTGTGGGAGTTTTTTATTTATTTTTTTTATAGAGATGCATGATCCTGCTTTAAAGATCTGATATTAACGCTGTGTTTCTCGTCTTCTGCTTCTCTCCTGCCCGGCTGTCTCACAGAAAAGAGATGGTTTACAGATGAAGCAGAAAACGCATACCCAAAGAACATTCAAATCAAGCCCATGAGCACTCACATGGCCAACCAAGTCAATCAGTACAAATCCACTAGCAGTCTGATTCCACCTATCCGAGAAGTCGAAGATGAATGCTGAACGAATCCCCGGCCTTTACCGTTATGGAGGGACGTGGGTCATCCTGCTGTAAAAGATGAGCACTAATCGCGAAACCATGACTGAGATGATGGCGACACATTGTTCTTCCTTTGTTCAACTCGAGGGTTTGAAGCGATTGAGAACTGGAAGGGACTTCCTATGTCTATACCTTTAATGTTACTTCCATACATTTATATATGTATACATAGTGATGTACATAATGACAATCAAGTAAGGATTGTACAGCCCCTAACACTTTTTTAAATTGTTAACGGCAAACAAAAAGAAAAAAAGTATGTCCTGTGATTCATTGCAATATTTCACCTCTGCCGTGACCTGACTCCATGCAGCGGGTGCTATAATGGAGGATGAGGGTCACTGTCGTTCACGTCATCCAAACACTACCCAAAGATCAGCCCTGCCGATTGGGTTACGTATCTGTCGTCCTTTTCGTTTTGCACTACCGCGTAATCACTGGAGCACCGCTCACAGAAGAGTCAAAGCTTTCCCTCGGTTCTCCTCTGAGTTTGAGGCTGACGTCACAGGCTGAGGCTGTTAACTGAATGGTTTTGTTCAGGGAAACGAGTGTCTGCGTGACTGTATTCATGCATGGTGTGTGCTGAAGGCTGCCTGAAGTAACCTGAACTTATAGCTCTGGAAAGGATGCCCATTTCCATCTCTACAGACTGTTTAGGCACACATACACATGGAAATGTTTGTTGTACCTAATGCAAATGACCAACCCCAACGTAGCTCTTCGGAATTAGCAATACATTGAGGATATGCTATTCCTGTTGATGTCTTTCCATCATCTATGACTGCTGGTGTGGGAAACTGTCTGTGATGGAGGATTATAACATGTTTGCAGCTCTGCTATTAATATGACTGACTGAAACACTACTGTAACCTGCTGATAATTCAACAATGATTGAGCTTTAACGCTGAGAAAATAAAATTATATATACGGTTGAAAATGCCACATATTGCAAAAAGTGGGCATTATTGGTTCCTCCTTTGGGTGTAGCCACTGCCTGACACAGGGTTGGCACAGGGGCGGAAAAGTGCTTGGATGTTCCCTGTGACCAACCGTGATGCCTTATACTCTAGAGCAAATACATAAGCTCAATCATAATGTTCAATTATCAGCCAAAGATGTAACTTGTGGATGACTCTTGCTGTGGACTGAATGGATTGGAACGTCACGCACTTCTATCAAGGCTACACGACTATGTTGTACCTTGAAGTAGAACGTATATTGATACAAATGTTTCACAGACCTTTGAACATTGCTTCAAGTGCTCTGGCAGATTTATACATAAGTACATACTTATTTTTTATCCATGAGCGTAATCATTTTGTACTTATTTTTATACATATCAGAGAACTTTATTTCTAAATGTATCAAAGATATCTTAATAGCAAATCACGTAACTTCAACCGGGAACCGTCAAAGATTTGTGAACCCGAGTCCAAAAGGTACAATTTCAGCTTGCCATCTGGAGTGCTCTTTGATACTTACACGGGCTGCTTTGAAGGACCTCGAGCTCTACTACTAAAACAAACGTATATGCTTTCATTTTCATAAGCTAACGGAGGTGAAAACCAATATTGAATGACTGATGACACGATGTTGATCCTCAGACAGACATGAACTCAGAGATGCACATGAGGAGGGACTCTGCTCTTTCTGTAATGAGGGTAGAGTCATAGTGATGTTAGCGATGTTTGACCTAAATTAGGTCTCGGTAAAGGCGTGCTGAAGTAGCAGTGAATTAATAGCTTGTAGATGCAAGAAAAGAGACATTAGCACTCGTTCATCCATTGAGCAAAAGAATATAAATCTGTTGTATAAATTCTGCCCGTTCTAGTCCACGTTTACTTTCTCAAGTACAAGGTATTTTAGTATTGTTTATCTACTGGACAATTAGGCTTTGTCCTGAAGTGATTTTCTGAATTGTGATTACATTGGTGTTACACTTTGTAGCAAGTAGATTTCTTAATAAATGAAGAAAAAAAAAATACACACGTGAGTAAACTGTATGTATAATTGGATTGTCTACATACATGCTAGCCTGAAAAAAAAAGTTTTTGAGCTAAAAAGAATCCATTGGTGTTAAATGTCCAATTGATTTATTTATTTTCTTCTATGTAAGGTCTTTTTCCTACAACGAACTACGTTACAAAGAAAGGCTGATGGCGCAGTCAAGACAGCAGGTTTCATTTGATGAGAAAAGTGTAGATGCATGTTGAAGGAAGCAGAAAGCAAACTAGCTCTTTCTTTTTGAGGATTATTAACCATCAGGTTTTTACATTCCATTTTGTCATCAGCATTTCAATGTTACTATCACAACTAGTTTGAAAATGTCAAAATCGGTTGTTTGTTTACAGATCTTTTCTTTCTTTTTCCAATCACATACTCAGGTAGCGATCCTGATGACAACACTACAAAGTAAAGCTGGCTTACATTTTTTTTTTTTGTTACTTTTCGTAGCCCTAATGACAGTTTGAGGTGATACTGATATTTCTTTTCCACTGCAACAAATGTGCAATGTTTTAGTATCATGATTTATTTGTACATCTTGTGAAGAAACTACAGTGTACACATATCAGAGTTTCTACAGTGCCATGAAATGTGTCCATCTGCCAGCATCAGTCAGTCATTGGTCAGTAATACTGGATGAATATCATGGCATCTAATACTGGCATGGAGAACATCCAAGCCATCCTTGCCTCCATGCCAGGACAGAGCCAGGCAGTGCAGGAAGACCAAAGGAGGAACGCCGTAAGACCCACTAGAGCGAAAAGTGGCATTCAAATGGGCATACGACACTTCTGCCTACGCAAGCTGCTGAAATCCTAGCACCTTGGTTATAGATACTGAACAAGTCAAAAAAGGGGACAGCAATGACTGAAAGATGCTGGGTAGAACTGACTATGATATTTAGTTGGATCACCTGTCAATGTATTCAAGAGTGTTTCATTAAAGTAACAAAGCAACCTTACTGATGTGCTATGTAATACACAACTATCATATTTTGGCTATTTTATTCTACTGTAAAGGACATATTTAAGTTTTAGAAACTGTATAAAGAAAATGCACTGTAACAGAATAAATATTTGGAGGGAATCAAGTCTTAACATGCTGAACTTGAATATGGATTACAGTTTTGTTGTTGTCTTTTCTTCCACTTCAATAAATAATCAAAACATCCATCCATACATGTAATTATTGGCATATTCATTAAAGAAATTGGGGTTTCTCATAGCAGAATGACTGATTTGACTACCAGACGTGAAGAAATTGATGGTGCTGAGCTGATCTACCTATCTCTGTCAAATATAACCTGCTGATAAAACATACTGTCTTGTACAAAACGTTTGTACATAAATTGTACATGGTTTCTTTTTGTATTTTCTCAAATTAAAATGGATGTATTTGTGTTCTACAGGTGACTGGTATATTGCGTCATTACTTGATTTACACTGGACATTTGAACCAAAACAGTTTTTCATTAAAAACACACATCATTGACAAATGGACATTGTTACAGTCCAAAGATATGTGGAGGAGGAAACAGGATGTGCTAGACGCAGGGAACACACCACTTCCAAACATCTGCTAATATTTAAAGAGGCACGTTTAATGACAAATAACCCCTCTCACATTTGAATTATTCCACATATCGTCTACTTAAGAATGTGTAGATTTCAATAGCAAGTCATTTTATATCTACACTTTTCACTGTGCGCCTCTCAACCTATGATTACAGCGCTCCCCGGTTTCAGTCTCTAAAAATGATGACTGTGATTAAACCTTGTTCTTTAGAAAGCTATCAGTCTGGTCTTACGTGGCTTGTTCTTTTCAAAACTAAAGATCTGAGCTCGACCTACCAAACCGAAATAAAAAGAGGAAGAGGTAGAACAGATGTCGGCTGCACTCCTGATTTGTAGGCTGATAAGGGTGGCACCCTGTAGGTTTAAATTGATGGCTTGTTAGTAAGGACTGGCCCCTTTGTGAGATGTTTTCAAAATGATTGATTTACAATAAAGTGGCTCCCTGTGTGTGCACGCAGGCTGAACTGATTCAGATCGATTCCAGTGAAATTGATTGATCAGCCATTTAACTTGGCAGTATGTTTACTGAACGAAACCATGCAAGACCTATTCTCCCAGTCTCTAGCAATAAAGCAGAAACAAGCCACACATCACAACAAAAACAACCACGTCTACGCTACTTCTACTGCTTCAGATTCTGTTCATATAAAATATATTTGTAAATGGCAATAAAATAATCAATCCCACTTTATATTGTCTTTAAACTACAAAAAAAAAATAGTTTGGTACACTGAAAAACCGCAAGTAAAACATTGAATTAAATGTGAAATTTTGAAGTAGAAAAACTGAAATAGTTTTTTTTTTCTTGTAAAACATACTCCAATGATCTGTTATATATATATATATAGAGAGAGAGAGAGAGAGCATTAAAAACCAGCAATACACAAGCTCACTCCCGTCCGTTTGACCTCTCTCCATCTCCCTTGCCTGCTCCCAAGCCCTCATCTCTTTACCGAGACAAAGCACTCTTGTTTTCAGCCCACAAATCATCTCGCCGTGGACACTTCATGCTGTCCTTTGGATAATTGTGGATGAAAACAGCCCCCTACATTCTCACCTTGGGATGTAGTGGCCCCATCATGCTGCTTATTAACGATTTTACACGGTGAGTCACGGCTCCGGGCCTGTCAGTACACCAGTAATATTTACCGTCTGACACATGGGCTGTAGGGGGAGAGATTGGGAAGGAGGCGGAGGGGTGGGGGGCGGACGGGCTGATTACACCCATCCACCTGACAGCGTCCTCATCCCTGAATCCTTCCGCAAATATACTGGTACGAACATCTCGGGTGCTGCCGTAAGGCTGCTTATTATGAATTAAAACATAACGTTATTGAAATGCAGAGAGGTGTTCGGAGGTTCGTTTCATCAGAGCTGGAGCTACGACAATCAACTTTGACGAGGTCGAGCGTAGGCGAGCATTTTCCCACATGAATACATTCGAGCACATTCGAGTGGCCATTATGGGCCATTTAGCAAATCAATAGGTGCTAAAAATCAAAAACAATTTTCTGGGTGGATTGTCAGTGGAGTAAATGAAAGTGAGAAATTTCTAATATTGAACACTTAACAATCAATGTGTTGCACACTTGATGGGGTTTGTTTTCAACACGACAATTTTTCTAAACTATTATTCAAGTCAAAGTCACCCCTCGGATCCGTCCGCCGTC